GCGCCCCCCGACTTGGTATCAGGCGCTTCCACTTCCAACGGCACATACCCTGTAGGAACCGCATACGAACACGCTAAGAAGTAACGGTAACCACCCCCTTTATCTCTACCCGAAGCTACAGGATCGAACGACTGACCCGCAATAAATGGGCCCGCTAGATCAAATGATGCCGAGTGTACAGAAGGAAAAGACGACCGCCAATGGGACCGCCTTCGACCCTGCGCCTGAATACACACCGGGCACCCCTTAAGGTACGGAGAATGATCCCTTGCCACGTGAAGTGCGTACCTCTCGGACTCCGTAAGTTTACGTGGCAACACCCTCCGCTCGGCAACCTCATCTAACCTAGCCAGCTCATCCTTCCATCTATCCCAAGCCCTTTGAACAATCCGCACAAACCGAATGGGCCACCCTTTAAAGGTCCGAACTGGTGGACAGCCCCTACCATCTTCAACGCAGACTTCCAAAGGCCCGGACTGCGAATCACCTCCCAACCCTTCGTAGAGAAACCAAGAAGATGTCCACAATTGGGTTACTCCTCCGGAGGACCCATACAACCGAAAATCGCAAACTACCCGATTCCAACCATACACCACTGGTAGGTCCCCAACATGAAAATCAACCGAAGGCAATCCAGTCCCTTCTTGAGGCAAAAACCCAGACACCGGCTGCTCCCAAGCTACAAAGACCGGCTCTGCCAGTGCCACAGCCGTACGACCCGGTTCTGGTCTCTGCTGTCCCAGCTTCGCTGCCGCGCGGGCCAAGGCCCATTCTACAAGCTCCCGAGGATCCCTAATATCGCTAGGAACCGCATCTAACCCACAATCACTATTCATACCCTCGGAAGTTACTTTAAGGTCCTTCGCAGCCTGCGCGACCCCAACGAGTAACAAGAAACGCAAGTTCCACACTAGAAACTCCGTCCACTCTTCGTTTGTGGATCCCCGAAAACTAGAAAGATCAGGACCGGCTACCAGCCCTCCGAACACACCAGAAGCCGCCCATACCAACAGCTGGCTGAACGCCTCTTTGCTCCCTAAACCTCTCTCAGAGCTAGGAACCCGTAAAACCCTTCCAAAGCTTCGTAACCCTTCCTGCCGAGGCGAACAACAAAGAAGCACGGATTCCGGTGCTCCCCTTTCAATGGACCTACGAAGGCGTCTATTCCATAGTGTTGGTAACTGGTCAGTCAAACAACTAGGCTCGATAGACACACACGCCCTTGCCAATAGTTCCAGAGGCAAGTGAGGAAGAAGTACCCGCAGAAAGGCTACCTGGATGGTATCTGTCAAAGAACCTGCCAAGCCACCGCTAAGCTGATCCCTTAACCAACCTCGCACAGATTCCTTAGTCAACCCTGAAGGCACATCCTCAAAACCTAGCTTACGCCTTTACTACCTGTACATCCAACACCCCAGTCTTAGGCCTCCTAATCTTACACCCCTTTTTCTTCCAAGAGATAGAGAAGCCTAGCTCAATAAGGTAGTTGGCTGGTAAAATAACCTGGCATTGTCCGGCATGGAGCAAGGTCCCGCATTCATTGACCCTCAGGTCTGTCCCTCCGCTCGCCAGATCAACATGTATGACCCTGCAGCCCTGTAACTCCTGATCGCAAGCGGGTCTTAACGCATTTGTCGCACCACTGTCTACCAGACAAAAAGAGGGGTCAGAGGCACTCGTAAGCGCACTGCGGAGCCATGTCAAGTCAAGCTCGGGGTTGTCAATCCTAATGGGCTTAAGCGATACCCCCTTCAACAGCTTCGCCGCCTCCGCCAACAAAGCTTCCTGACTAACCCCGGTACCCGAGCTTGCACTAGCAACCGCTGCACCAGCTGTATTGCTGACACTCTCAGACCCAGGACCTGACTCCTCAGTCACGCCCTTCGCCTGAGTACCCGATTGGGCCCCAGACTTAGCCTTAGCCTTACCCTTAGGCCCCGACTTAGGAGTACCTGCCTTAGCACCCGGAGACCCGTCCTGAACACCTTCTGACTGAACTACCCTATGCTCTGCTGGGACCAAAGGGCATTCGGGGCGGAAATGCCCAGCTTGCCCACATGCCAAGCACCTATTTTCCCGGCGCGCCTTAGCTCTATCGTGCTTAAACATACACGAATCGCCGAACCGGCACCCTGAAGCGTCAGCAAACTTATGACACATCGGCGCCGTTCCATCCCCAGCCTTACCCTTACCTTTACCTTTACCCTCAACCCCAACGGCATTCACGGCTGCACCCGCAGCCGGACTCGTTGCACCAACCGGTGCTGCCGGAGGGGCTCCCGGAGGTTTGGTCGGAGGGGGATCCTTTGCTCCCAGAGCGGCATTCCTAGCCCTTTTGTCAGCGGACATCTCAACCAGAGAGGCCGCCTCACTTTCGGCCTGCAGAAGACGAACAAGTTGAGTCACACCCATCAAGAGCAGTGACGGATCGGGAAGAGTCGCCTTTATTTCCGTGGCTCTCTGGAGCGACTGTTGCCACCTCCTAAAAACCCTTATGGCATCCTGGAACCCCTTACAGTGCTCAGGAGTAACCAACTGGCTCAACAACTGGGCTCTTTCACTGCTCCCTCCAGGCTGATAAACGCAGAGAATGCGATATAAAATCGCGGCTGTCGTAAGCCATCTGTTGGTTATAATGTCGTCACGCACCTGATTAGTCACGGAAGCCAACAGCAAAGTGACCGCCCTCGATTCCACCCTCTGAAACCGATGATTGTCAAAAGTCGCTACCACCGAACTCGGATCCAAGCTCAACCTACCCAGCGGATCAGCAACTAACCACCGTGAGTAACCCTGGTGCGCAGCCGATTCCACTGCTGAAAACCAGATGTCTGCCGAAGGAGAGAGCCCCTGAAAGATCTGCTTGACCTGGGCCAACCAATTCCCGCAGACCACCGCGCTAGACGATAAATCTGCCTGAACCAGCTTAGGCAACTCACTAATGTACTTGGCCGGTTCTTCTGGTCGGTTGCTCTCTCCCCCAGAACCGCTGAACTGCGGATGTAGCCCACAAGGGCCCGGAAAAACACTACTCGGGTAACCGACGCCGTAAGCAGGGCAGCTGGCTCCTACACTAGGTCCCGCAACCATAGGCCCCGAAACTCCGTCAAGACCCTGAGGCCCATAGCCCAGCCCACCGTACCCTGTCCCAGGCAGTCCTGCCGACGCAATCGCAGAGAATCTTGGAGAGGCCGGTGGAGGCCCAGGAGGCGGACGGATCACCGTTCCGCCCGGAGAAACCGGATACCCTTGATCATCAAACCCTGGTTGCCCTGCACCCATTGACCGAGGGGTATGAAAACCAACATTGACATCCCGTGTCCCCAAAACTTCACTAGTAAATTGCCGCAAGGACTGGGTAGGCATCGCATCCTCAATGCTACAAGGCCCAGGATCCGTTCTTCTAGGAGGTTCGGGGGAGGGCCCTGAGCAGCCAACTCACCTAACCCCGCCCCCGGATTCTTTCCAACACCTGGTAACACACCTACACCTTTTCCAGTCCCTGACCCTAATCCCATAGCAACTACCCCCAATTCTTGATCAAGTTGAGGTCTGGCGCTGCCCTGGGAGTGCAAAGGCCGCGAAGACGTTCCCGTAGCCCTAAACCCAACATCCACGGACCCTTCTGCATTGGAACCCGAAAACGCAGGAAGCCATCCGGCTCCCGAAGGACTACCCTGTACAGGCCTAAGCCCACTCAGAAACTGCTGAGGAAAAGCCTCAAGGAGGAATTGCTGTCCTTGGCCGAAGGAGGCCGGAGAGGCCGGGAATCCATGCTCACCATGAGCCTGACGCGTTACTCCCGTCTCCCAGCTCGAATTGGACTCCGTCTGCAGGCGCCGCTTCAAAGACTTATTTTCTTCCACGACCTCCAGCAGGAGGGATTCAAGTCGCTCCACTCTGCTTGCCTCAGCAGGAATAAGTTCTCTCGAATCCTCCCCAAACGGGGTCCCAACAGCCGGTAGCTGAGCCACTCGTCCCTGCACTATTCCAGGCGAAGCAGCTCCTTCCTCACCTTGAGTACCTTGCACTGATGTTCCACCACCAATCGCTGCCTCTTTGCGCTCTACATACTCATCCACAGGCCTTTCTACCCCAGACTCAACACGAGCAACTCTTGGAACTTCCGCAGCTCCCTGAAACTCTTCCAAGGAACCATAGTTCGGCTCTTGCCCCGAGGAAAACCCAGGATCTCCTAATGCAGTTTCATTGACTTCCGATTGCAATCTTCTACCATCATCATCCAAAGTACTAGGCCTTGATCGGGCCAACTGTACCTCGGCCTTGGCCCTTGAACTGTAGAAAGGATGGGCCTCCGGAAGAGGCACCGCCGCTACAGAGCTAGGTATACCACCTGACTCCATCATCCCGGGGGAAGCTTCTCCACTTAGCATGATCCCCGAGGGAGTCATCTCCTGATTGGCTTGGCCCAAGGCTGTCTGATATAGCTGTTCTTGATTCACACCGGAAGTTTCAGGCTCGCTAGAACCTGCCGATCGCCTCCTTCTGGGAACGGTGTCCATGGCTTAACGACTTCTGAAACCTCGTGGTCCACTACCTTAAACCCACAACTCTATCGTAGCAAACTACGGCTGATAACCTACGTGAAATAAATCAATACCCACCACAGGTTGCGAGTAACCCTAAGAATAGACCACTGCTATCGAAGGGAGCCCTACACTCGCAGTCAATCTTTTTTCGTTCGAGAAAAACAGCCTTCGGGTTAGACGCACTGCCTGTACTCAGAGACTCTGCTTCACGCACTAAGCCCTAAACCCCTGCACCCTTAATCCCGAGCCCTATTCCTAAGCCGAAAGATTTCAAACCCTAAACCCTAAACCCTAAAACCCTAAAACCCAAAACCCTAAAACCCTAAACCCCTAAAGCCCTAAAGCCATATAACCCTAAAACCTCAAACCCTAAACCCTAAACCCTAAAACCCTAAACCCCTAAACCCTAAAACCCCAAACCCTACAACCCTAAACCGGATGCTGGGGCGCATTTGGCTTTCTTCTGCGACACGTGGTTACCTCGTAGCCTCGGTTGCGCGCTGGTTCCCGTGTAGGGTTTAGGGTTTAGGGTTTTAGGGTTTAAGATTTAGGGGTTTAGGGTTTTAGGGTTTTAGGGTTTAGGGGTTAGGGTTTAGGGTTTACTAAGGCTTTGGAGTTTAGGGTTTAGGGGTTTAGGGTTTAGGGTTTACTGTAAGGCTTAGGGGTTTAGGGTTTAGGGTTTGGAGTCTCGGGTATCCTATAAGGGTTCCTTGAAAAGGGTCTATGTCGGTTCCTGTAAAGGGATCTACAAGTCTATAAGGGTCTAGGGTTTAGGGGTTTTGGGGTTTAGGGGTTCAGGGCTTTAACCTATCTTCCTCTACATCTTGCACACAGAGAAAGCCACAAAACTCCCCTTGTGCGGGTGGGTGTCAATGACGGAGGGTACCAGAGACTAAGCACCTTAGTCAAGGAGATCATCTTAAACTACATAGCGGAATCCTGAACATGACTTAAAGCAGCCTTTAGTTATTTTATGTGTGGTTGCCAAAATTAGGGTCCCTCTTTGGGTCCCTATTATAATACGGCACCTATTATTTAGGGTACCCAAAAGGAACCATAATTTCGACAACTACCCATATGTGCATTAATCAGCAGAGTCGGGTCTGGCGGTAAATTAAACTACAGTTCTACGGAAACTAAAGGAACCCTGTTCTTACTTAGCCCGACATCTGCCGAACCCCAAACCCAGCATACTTACAGGGTTTCGTCCTCTACCTAAACCCTAAACCCCAAACCCAAAATATTTCCCAGGTTTCATCCTTTACCCTTTTGTATGAGGACTTGTGCAATCGCCTGAAAAAATGGGCGGAAATTCATCCTTTACCTAAACCCTAAACCCAAACCCAAAATATTGACGAGGTTTCGTCCTTTACCCTAAACCCCAAAACCCAAAATAATGACGAGGTTTCGTCCTTTACCTAAACCCCAAGCCCAAAATATTGACGAGGTTTCGTCCTTTACCTAAACCCCAAACCCAAAATATTGACGAGGTTTCGTCCTTTACCTAAGCCCCAAACCCAAAATATTGACGAGGTTTCGTCCTTTACCTAAACCCCAAAACCCAAAATATTGACGAGGTTTCGTCCTCTACCTAAACCCCAAACCCAAAATATTGACGAGGTTTCGTCCTTTACCTAAACCCCAAACCCAAAATATTGACGAGGTTTCGTCCTTTACCTAAACCCCAAAACCCAAAATATTGACGAGGTTTCGTCCTTTACCTAAACCCCAAAGCCCAAAATATTGACGAGGTTTCGTCCTTTACCTAAACCCCAAACCCAAAATATTGACGAGGTTTCGTCCTTTACCTAAACCCCAAACCCAAAATATTGACGAGGTTTCGTCCTTTACCTAAACCCCAAAACCCAAAATATTGACGAGGTTTCGTCCTCTACCTAAACCCCAAGCCCAAAATATTGACGAGGTTTCGTCCTTTACCTAAACCCCAAACCCAAAATATTGACGAGGTTTCGTCCTTTACCTAAACCCCAAAACCCAAAATATTGACGAGGTTTCGTCCTTTACCTAACCCCAAACCCAAAATATTGACGAGGTTTCGTCCTTTACCCTAAACCCCAAAACCCAAAATATTGACGAGGTTTCGTCCTTTACCTAAACCCCAAGCCCAAAATATTGACGAGGTTTCGTCCTTTACCTAAAGCCCCAAACCCAAAATATTGACGAGGTTTCGTCCTTTACCTAAACCCCAAAACCCAAAATACTGACGAGGTTTCGTCCTCTACCTAAACCCCAAGCCCAAAATATTGACGAGGTTTCGTCCTTTACCTAAACCCCAAACCCAAAATATTGACGAGGTTTCGTCCTTTACCTAAACCCCAAAACCCAAAATATTGACGAGGTTTCGTCCTCTACCTAAACCCCAAGCCCAAAATATTGACGAGGTTTCGTCCTTTACCTAAACCCCAAACCCAACATATTGACGAGGTTTCGTCCTTTACCTAAACCCCAAAACCCAAAATATTGACGAGGTTTCGTCCTCTACCTAAACCCCACGCCCAAAATATTGACGAGGTTTCGTCCTTTACCTGAACCCCAAACCCAACATATTGATGGGGTATCGAAAGCTCCGGGGTCAAGCTTTGTCTCACCCCTGCGGCCTTTAGATTGCTGTTGCCGAGGCCTCAAGATCCCAAAGGGTCCACGTATTGCATGGTACACACGTATGCATGTGCTTTAGGGCTTAGGGTTTAGGGTAGACATGTATGTATGTTTGTCTGTATGTAGGTGTCTCTTGAAAGATGTAGATACCGATATACATACAAATACGGGCATCGCCATAGACATCGGCATAGGTTTAGATATCGATATGGATACATATACAGCTAGAGGTTTAGAGATAGAGGTACATATAGATGAAGATATAGTTCTTGTTGCATAGTAGGTATAGATACAGATACAAATCAAGATATAGTTGTTTGAATAGATACACACACACATATATATATATATATATATATGTATATATATATATATATATGCATGCATGCATGCATGCAGACATACAGATAGACAATCAGACAGACATATAAACATATATCTATATATACATATACATATATATACATATGTCTGTGCATGTATCTGTATATGCATGATTTTATACATGTAGAGTGTGTGTTTATAGAGTTCGAGCTGCGGGCTCACGGATTTACAGTGGGGCAAATACTTCGACCTGAGAAGGTAGCTATAGTTTATAGTATCTAATAGGGCTCAGCTCCTCCGGACTCAAGCATCGCATTTTCATGGCCCCGCGTGGGTCCGCTTGTGTTCTCGTGACAAAGACCACCAGCTCCCGCAGGAAGAGCTTCGGGTCCTGGTCGAAGTAGTAGCTCCGCAACAGCTCCACGGAGGATCGGCGTATCGGAGTGCGAAGAGCGGGTCGATCCAAGCCAGGTTCCCCGCAGCCTTGTACGCTCCACGCTGCTCCAAAGCAATTTTCATCTCATCCAACTGGAAAATGCTTTGCACGCCGCTATTGCTGCCTGCACCATCCTTGATGGGCAAGGGATCGCAGTCTGCCGTGTCAGAAAAGATCGGATGCGACATCACCACACCAATGTCACTTTCCAATGCGGTGTAGAAAGCTGCATTCTGTCCGAGCCTGCTGGGGCTGGGCCCGTTCAGCTTCACCTTGCCCTTGTCTTTCTTGGGCGCCATGCTCGCAGACGTCCCGGAATCAGGGTCTTTAAGCGCCCATCACTTGTAGTACCGGGACACCTAGGGGATGTCGGGAACTTTTCACTAAGACCCCGTTGAAACCCTAAACCACCCAAAGCCCACTCCATAGACTCGTCGCCAGGTTGCAACACGGACAAGGTAAGATGGCTGTCGTCCATTAGCAACTTCCGAGAGACGTATCCTCAGGCCGAGTAGATTCTGTAAAAGGTTCTATATCTAAAGGTTGCTATCAGGGATCTTATGAGGTTAAGTATCAGGCCTCTGTAATGACAGCAGGATTCAGCCGTATACTGTGGTATAGCTATTAAACAGGGACTATAAGCAAGTATATGAAGACAGGGCGATCATCTTGCAATTGCTGAACTTGTGTTATTCTTTGTGTGTTTACGTGTCCCTAGTGACATGCTCTCATTTCGGTTTGGAGATTAAGGTTTGTACTTCCAGCCTTTGAATTTTGATGCTCGGAAGCGGGGCAGAATGCCCAAATGGCGTTGCTTGGGCCTGAAGGGCCTGACATCCTTGGAACGAGGGTAATAGGCAGTGTCGTGGGCTGGCTTCAAGGCACGAAGGTAAACTTGTGTGCTTCCTGGCTTGACGGCTCAGGTTCAGCATTTGCCGTCATGAGGGCCATGTTCGAAATGGCAGTATGGCAAGTTCTGCAACAAATCTGGACGAGTGTCCGAAGAGAACGAAAGCTGTCGCCACGGCCTCCTGATTGGAAATATCTGAGACGATGTAGCCTTGGACAAAGCTCAAGACCAGATCTAGGAGTTTCTTCGGGCACTACAAGCAGAAGCACGCACACACTGCCTTAACAATCTCTGAGCGCCATTTGGCTTCGAAGCTGACAGGTTTAAACCAACCCCAAAACCTAAACCTACAAAACCCCTAACCGCTAAGACCATATTCGAGTTTGGGGTTGCAGGGTTTACTTTTGTTTTAAACTCCACTTCGTTTTCTTGTTTTTTGAGGGGGGTCGGCGGCCTCTTTTCCAACTTGCAAGTCTTTCTGCAGAAGGAAAACCCGCGTTGGGCAGGCGAGGCTACCGACCACTTACGGCCAGCTCCCCAAACTCAAGCAAGGTACACCCACTAATCCCCCTTTTAGGGTTTTTAGGCAGGGCTGCCCAACAACCTTCGAAAAACAAAAGGCATTCTCCTTAGAAAACTGCAGGAGAACTTTTGGAATCTTCAGGAAAGCTCCTTCGCCTCAACAAGACATGGCAGTGCGTGTACACCTCAACATCGGGGCTTGTTGGGGTCGTTGTATCCAGGACCCTCGTAGCTACGGACTACGGACAATATTGGCGTCCCTTTATTTGCTGACACTACCTCGTGTCGGGCGGCAATCTGGATCCGCAGTCTTGTCTGCAGAGGAAATGTAGGAGGACAGCCGTGTTGCACCTGCTCCACTGAGCCTGCAACTGGTTTGGTTTGAGGTTTGGGGTTTAGGGTTATGAGCCAAGACTACTGCGTTACCGCGCTTTGACTAAGGATGCCAGACGACGTCCATCTCTTGGCACCAAATGTGTGAGAAAAGGGGTTCTAAGCTCATCCTCCACTTCGTCATCCCTAAACCCTAAACCTAAACCCTAATAGCGAATCCGATGCCCAGCGCTCCGAGAGCAGTCCGAGCCCCGCAAGGACAGCAGCATCTACTAGTTTGAAGTACTACACATGCATGCAAGTTGCCACCACATTCTCAATATCATATCATACCCCTCTGGCATAGCATCCTCTTTCATCCCGTCGCAGGTGCATGTTGGCCCTAAACGCTTTATTGAATATATAGTCTCTACCCTCTTGTTCCCGTAGAAAGTACGCCCCAACAAAACCGTTGGAGATTCCTGCAAGAGAGAACCCCTAAGCCGGAAAGAACAAACAACTAAAGACGAACCCAAGAACCTTAAAGTACCCTGAATCCTTACTAGTTGTGGCCCCAGAGTAGCTTTAAGGGTGTACGGCTTGCTTTAAGGAGTCTGCGAGGGTTGTCAAAGGATTTTTTGGGACGTCGGATGATGGGATCTGGTAACTAGAACCATAAATGTGGTAGCCACACTTATGTGTACATGTAAACCCAATGGGGGGAGCGACGATATCACGATATCTCGCCAAACAAGTTGCACGGATTGATTTTGGGGGGCCTTGTGTGGCACGGCATGGATCGCGATTCGATTTTGTTACTCGGATTGATTGGTGGGGCTTCAGACGCAGTGTGCGGGTAGATATTTGATTACGCGGATTGGATTTGGGAGGGCAATGTCGGCTATGTCAGAAAACATCAAAACGAGACCAGACCAGGGGGCAGGCCAGTAGGGGAGGGCAGGGCAGCCCCTAAACCCTGAACCCTAAAGCGCAGGGCGGGAGGGCAGGGGAGGGCAGGGGAGGGAAGGGCAAAGAAGGGAAGTGGAGAGGAGGAGGGGCGAGGCCTTTCAGGGCGTCGGAGTGTTTGCAGATGTTGATTTCGTGGCAGTAATTGGGTCTTCCATATATTTCCTATAAAGAGAAATAAGGAAACCAACAAGGATTGCCTTTCGAGACAGAGGGAACCTATCATTTCACCCGACGATCACTGGCGTGATCTCGTAAATGGAGACCTAGATCCTTGAATATGGCTTTCTGTCTTGACGCTCACATTTTACTGCCGCTTATGTTGTTCCACATCATGTCCCAGATTTCGCAAAAACCAAGAACTTGGAGTTCGGGTCCACAGAGTGTCTAGAGTTGCGGCTCAAGCCAAACACCTCCAGAACCCAAACCCTTGACAGTAAAGGACAACTAAACCCGAAACCCTATCGACGAAAACCCCTAAATTCTAAACCCATTGTCACCAATCCCCAACTACGAAACGACAAACTCCCAAACCCTCTCACCCCCTAAAAACCCCGAAACCCCTCACCCTAAACCCGGAAAGCCCCCTGGTTGCCTCCGTGCAATGGAAGCAATCGCATCAGGCGTCAGCTCGGGAGGGAGCTCCAACATCATGACCTTAAAGGGCTTCTCTTAAGGGTTCATTTGGTGCTTCCTCTGAAAGGATCCTTTATGGGTTCCTTTTCACGGTACTAGGGTCTCTAGGGGGTTATGTAGAAAGTTTTTAGACTTGTGGCGCTTGGGGTCTACTTAAGTTTCAACGTGATAACTTTTGGGTTCTCTTGGCTTCACATGGCTTAGGTTTTAGGGTTTATGGGTCGGGCATTCCTAGATTAAAGGCTCTAAAGTCATAGCCCGGGTTTATGGGTTTACGGTTTGGGCTCCTAACTCCAAACAGGGCTTAGGGTTGAAGTCTTAGGATTTCTTTAAAGGGTTCCTGTAGGGTACGATTAGGCCGATAAGGGTTCTGTAAGGGTCCATAAGTTCCATAATGGTTTTAGGATTGGGGCATTTTTCCCTCCCACCTAGCAAGGACGAAGCCCGCATTGCAGGGATGTTCGGTTGAACAGTGGGCATTAAGGCATAGGGGTTTAGGGTAACAGAGGTGTGAGTATTTGCTGATAACCGATCCCCATGGGCTTAGGGCTTTGGGCTTCCGGGCTTCATTAGGATTCAAGGTTTCAGGGTCTAGGGCTCAGGGTTTAAGGCTTGTGGGCTCTTTAAACCCTAAGCTATAGAGGTCGGAAACACTCTTCTTCAGATTGACGTAATTACTCTTCGTGCGGGGACCCAGAAACTGACCCTAATTCAAGAACTGATGTTGACAACCCCCCGACCCTAAACCCTAAACCCGAGACCTTCTACAGCAATCTCTCAACCTAAAACGCGCTGGACATGCTACAAACCCAAACCCCAAGCCTTCCCTAAACCCTAAACCCTAAACCCAAAGCCTTCCTCTGGGGCTCAGGGGTCTGGGCACAGCTGGGCGGACGTGCTGTCCCAAGCAAAGCACGCAGTTGGCATGCGGTTTAGGGTTCAGGGTTTAGGGTTTAGGATTTAGGGTTTGGGGTTTGGGGTTTAGGGTTTAGCGATCAATCTCTCCGTTGACCTCTTGAGAGAAACCCGACGGCCTCCAGTCTGAAGCGGAACCATTAGACATGATTGAGCCTTGGCCCTCCAGGAGAGAAAACCTAAAGCCCAAACCCTAGACTCTAGACCAAAAACCCCAAACTCCTGGACCCTAAACCCCACACAAACCCCAAACCCTAACGTGCTTCGGTGGATTGGATGCAAAGCCAAGCGACCGTGTTTACCCAGCGAAGGGTTTCTCGAACATCCTTGGCACTGAGCATGCGGAGCTAATACAAAGGAGGCCTTTCTATTCGGGATCCTTGCGCTTTAGGGTCTAGGCCCAGACCTTCCAAAATCCCTTAATTAAGGAATATACCCTAACTTATAATAGGATCCCTAATATGATTTCAGCTATATTCCTTAATTAACGGATCTTGGCAGGTCTGGGGGGTTAGGGTTCAGGGGCATTTAGGGCCTGTAGGCGTCAGGGTCTTTCACTTTAGGGGCTAAGGGTCCATGCTAGGGTCCCTTAATGGTTTCGGATGCTCCCAAGTGCGTTAAGAGGTTACCTATAGTCTCATTGTAATTCCTTTTTGGGTTACCTTATAGGGTCCTGAATATATACATAATTGGTTAAACCAAAAAACGGAACTACAATGGAGACTATAGGTACTGCATGGCACGCGAGGAGGTGCGATGAAGCGACCTGACCGCACCTGTGTCCTTAACAGGCTAGCTGGGAACAAAAGCAGCAAAGCAAAAAGTACTCCTTGGTCCTCAGCTGCGGCGATCTCAGCTTCCCGGGAAGTCTTGAACGGTTCATTGATTTTTTGGGGCCTTTATTACAATAAGGTTTTGGGGGTTGAAACAACAAGCCTAAGGGCAAACGGTGGTGGAGGTTGGCAGTCAGGTTTTACTTTGGGGGCTTTATCGTCTTCAGTTTATACAGCGCTGCGGTCTTTACACTCAGCGCTCAGGCCGGTTGACCTCCCTCCCCTTCCACCGCCACGCACAAAACAACACGGAACCCGGTTAGGTTCCCAGTAGCCCCTTGAAACACAAAATTTGTAACCACAGAATAAAGAAGGTATACATCGTGGTAGTATCAGCAGAGTAGAGCAGTGCAAACGCGAATACGCGATGACTGAAACATACCCTATGGAGTGCTTCTTGACTTTCACCAACTGTCGCTCAGCTGCTGTCAAGGCAAACGTTGCGGCTCCGGCACAAATGCAACAATAAATATATCCAAACCCCAAAACAGATGAAGTGTCTAGCGAACCCTGGACAGTTGGAAGATCGGAGAGAAATGATTTCCGCTGAAAGCTTGATGGCTACTGCTTTAAGCCCTTATCAACCCCCCACTTAATCCTCAGACCCCAAGGTCTTAGAGCTCAAGGCGGCTTTTTCCGGGGGCATCCAAACCCTCTCTCCCTTGGATGCCCTAAACCCTAAATCCTAAGCTTCAAACCCAAGGCTCATCAAAGCCGATGTTGTAGTTGGAAAGCTCGGCGATGTCCAAGACGGTGTCGCAGTAGTCAGCCTTCGAAGTTGAACTCCGAAACGCGAAGCCTACCTAAACCCCACATAAACTACTTTTTAGGGACTTAGGGTTTACCAGGACCCCCCAATGACCCTTCAAAGGAGCTTTTATGGCCCTTAGTTGTGGGTATGTGGGGTATATTAAAGGCTAGTTCGGGGGTCTAGGTAGGGTCAAATCCTAAACTCTAAACCCCAAACCTTTGCGACAAACTCGTTAGCTTCATGCCAGGATGCGCACGTTCAGGGGACATACTCGGATCTTATACACCACACTTTCCGCAGTCCGAGCCTAAGCCCCAAATCGTAAAGCGGCCCGACCGGGTTGAACAAGGTCGTCAACGGAGGCCCGCACATCGTAACTTCTACATCTCATAATTAGGGCTTTTACAGAGGACGCCAGAAAGGCTGAACATCAATATCCTCTTGCCGTCAAGGTAAAGTATAGAGGATCCCAGATCTGATCATCCTAAACTCATGTTCCAACTTTCTGGGAAACACTACTGTATAGGGTTTTAGGGCCAACTCCCGCAGCTTTCGGAAACGCTAAAACAAAGCCGCATCCCGACAAGAGAGCACTAGTACAACGAAAGCTTCCATGCGCCAGCCGCCGTGACGGTGACGAGTTTTATGGATGACAGTAACCCCGACAGAAACCCTTACCCAAAGCAATACAAATTCTGAAGGACCACTCAGTACAAGCCCTACTCTAGCTTTTTAAACACATCAATACCCTAAGCCCTTAAAGCCTAAACCCCTGAACCCTTTTGGGCATGGATGGCGTGCCAGCGAACATTCCTAATGTAGGGGCCTTATAATAACGAATCTGGTTTTGGGGCCCATTATACTATACTTATAACAAGGAACCCCCAAAATAGTATACGTAATCATTAAGGCCCCTATATTACCCCGGTTGTGCGGGCGGGTTGCGATCATCTGCTCGCTCGGCTTGACATATTCGGGATATGCCTTGGACAGGGCTTGCTCTTAGGGTTTAAGGTTTAGGGGCTTAAGGGTTTATAGGGTTTAAAGTTTAGGGGTTCAGAGGGTTTAAGGGCTTAGGAGGGTTTAGGGATTTCGGTTGAGAGCTTAAGTATTTTCAAGGATTGCGGGTTTCCCTGAAGCCTATAAACCTTTAGGGTTTGGGGACTTGCCTTGCTTGCTCCAGGGGTGCTTGCAGATCGCCGGTGTCGGGCTTTAGGGATTGGGGCTTTGCCCAGCTTCTTCCGAGTCAAGGGCTTAGGGGTTCAGGAGTTCGCGCTGGGCCCTAAACCCTAAAGTCTATAGGACCGTAAATGCCTCCAAACTCCACCTAAAGCCCTAAGCCCGCCTTAAACCCCAAGCCATTAGATGACCCTAAACTCTGAACCTAAGTCATGCACCGGAGCAGTGCATACCTCGAAACCTTAACTCGAATCCAAGACGCCCGGCCGTTTCGATTTGTGGGTGTATAGCACTTATAGGGTTTAGGGTGTATAGGGTCTATAGGGTTTATAGGGTTTCTAGGGTTCAGGGTCTAGCAAGGTTGCTGTAGCATGACCCACTACTTACATACAGGTGATCTGCTTGTGATACAGTAAGCAACCGGCTCTATAGATGGAAGCTACACCCATACATACCCCTGTGAACACCCGAACACCTAAAACCTGAAATCTAAAAGCAATCCAGAAACCTTGAAGCCGCACAAACCAACCAGAGCAACCTCTCCAGACACGGTTTGCGGAGTTTACGGTATAGGAATTTAAAGGATTTAGGGTTTGCGGTTTAGGGGCTCAACATAGGGGCCTTAATATTGAAGTAGAATAGAGGCCCAGTATACTATAACTACCGCAAAATAGTATAAGTAGTTGTTAAGGCCCCTATAGATATCGTTTAGAGTTTCAGAACAAGACAGACAAACCAATGCACCTAAACCCTAAACCTTAAACCCTAAATCCTAAACCCTAACCTTAAACCCTTAAACCCAAAACCCCAAACCCTAAATCCTAAACCCTAGACCCTTAAACCCTACACCCTTACACCACCAACCAAGAAACGACAGACTAACCATTGAAGAAGTCTTTATAATAGCTCTCATAGTAGGGATTTAGGGTTTAGGGTTCTGAATAGAGTTTCAAAAAAGATAAACGAACAAAAATGAAAGTCGAGGTGGCCAGGAGGACCGTCTCAACGCCGTGCACTCGGGCGGTTGCCATCTCTCCGATGCACCTGGGAGTTTCCCGAAATTAAGGGGTACCTTAGGGTTCCTGTAAAACGTACTATAAGTTGTCAGGCGCACTCAAAAGCATCTGAACATGAACTCTTCAAGGTGCCGTCCCATTATATCTAGACATTAACGCCTCCAAGATCGAACGGTGGGCTTCAGGCGTTTATGTTGACACGGGCTTCAGGTGTTTAGGGCCGAGGATGTAGTGCTTGAGATTCAGATCCTGCCTAAGCTTTTAGGGACCCAAGCAGGCACATGAGCATAAGCATTTTATGGTGATATCCCTACATTATTGGGCTTCATTATATAAGGGGTTCTATATGGGATAATATCCCTAGCCTTACTTTTGCTTATGTGCTTTTCGGGGGCCCCGGCTTTATTTAGGGCTCAGGATCGTGTTGTATGAATTGCGATCCCGGCCATGTGGAAGACCGGGATGACAGAGTTGCTGCAGCGTGACGGTATGGGTAAGCACGGTGGAACACGGGACGGTTCTACGATTCCTTGCGCGCACAGAGAGTCTTTGTACATGAATAAGTACTGTTATATATATATATATATATACACATACACACGTATAACTACACGCACACACACACACACATCTCTGTGTGCGTGCATATTTGCGTGCACGCACACATGCGTGTGTCCGTGTGTCTATGCAAATTGGCCTGCTGCTTCCTCCGACTACTGGCCAACACCCAATCGGATGGCCCTGGTACCCTTAACCCGAAGTACGGTTGATGGTATAAATCCTGCATTACCCATAATAAGCAATATACCATAACTCCCATAGTTTATTGTCCTCAAGGCATGCAGGGCTTTTATGATTAGCCGTACTGAAGCCGACTGTGGGCTGACCTTTTGCAAACAAGCAGCTGTCTTGAAATAGGGCAAATAGGGGCCTTTACAATTAGAATGGTAACTCCGAGGGTTCCTCAAAAAAAGCTACAGGGACTATAGTGCACCATGCGCCGAAACCCGTCTACCTTTCGAGGCCCAAGTAGAGCAGTCATGGCTTGCCGGGTGTTTCAATTCCTATTAGTTTTTAGTTTTTAGGGTTTTAGGGTTTAGGGTCTGAAGACGGAAGGCAAACTGTTCTTGCACGACAGAGCACAACGTTACCAGCATATGCAGGACCGACAAACAGGAAATCCAAGAAACTCGTATGGCCATGTGTTTCAACAGGAAGCTGTACGCCTTTGTAGTAAACAAGGGGTTGCAGAGGATGCATCATTCTTTTTCCTATTCTCCTAAATTATCACAAGCAGTCTTCGAAATTGCACCGGAAAGGGCCGAGAAGTGATTCTGCAGATTCTGCAACGGAAGATTGGGATAGGTGTTGATTCGGCACCAACATTTAATACAACAATTCCAGAGATCCGTAACCTGCCGGCTTGTATTGTAGGGTATCCCTAGAGCGTTAGCCTAATGAACTTTTTGGCCCATATAGGAGTTTCCGAAAATAGGGGACCCCAATATATATAGTACCCTAAATAGTAGGATCCTTACTATAAGGACCCCCAAATAAGGTACCCCCTATTTTCGGAAACTCCCATATAGGTAATATATATATATATATATATATATATATATATATATATATAGGCAGCAGGATTCCAGAAGGCTTTGGGCGACACGACATCACCCATCGAGGCCTCGACGCCTACTAGTTCTCAGAGGCTGAGTACCCTTTCACGAAAGAGGTTAGCCTACTAGGATACCCAGTAACCTAAGAATAAAAAGGCATCTCTTTTTGGTATTGGGTAACTTTATAAGGAACCTGGGACTACAAAAAGGGAATAAGGGTACTACAGGGCATCCTAGCCTAGTCAATGATGCGAAATGGGCCAAGGCACCACTTGCGCGTCAGGACATGTGGGCTGCCCAAGATCACGAAGGTGGCAGTCTCGTGTGCCACATACCCGAACAGCCTGCGATGATAAGGGACTTAGGGTTTATAATCACGGATTGCCCTCCAGTCCTACACCCTGAGCTCGGCGGGGCAGGCCCTAGAGCAAAATTGAACCACAGGAATTACATATTGGGGCCTCAAACAATACTGAAATGTACTGAAGTACGGTGTAGATGAGATAGGGGTCCCCTCAGGCAAGCAAAACATGCATCGAGAGGTTGCTAAACTCTAAACCCTGGCCAATATCTAAATTTAACTAGCCAGTGGTTTTGGGGGGTCCCTTGGCTCTTTAGCTCCTTATTTAATAGGGGTTACCATCATCCCTGGCTCCTTAGCTCCTCCAATATCAATAGGAAGTTAAGGAAACCTTCAGCCAAAAAGCACAGCAAAAGGCAGAGCCGTGCTCCGAAGAGTCTTTAGGAAGAATGGGCTGGTTTTGGGGCTGCCCGCCAATCTCAGAAACAATATGGGAGTTTCCGAAATCTAAAATAAAGGGTACCCTGTTTTGGGGTCCCCTCTTGTCGGAAACTTCCATATACAACCTGAACCCAAACCCCACATCCGAAAGCCTTTTACAGAAACGGCATGTAAGAGAAGATCGGGCTAGTGCCGGCATAGTCCCATAGCCACCACGACGGTACTAGCACTACAGGGGCCTAAACAATTACCAATACTATTTTTCGGGGGCTCCTTCATTAATATAGTTATAGTATAATGGGCCGTAAAGACCTAATCTGATTAGGTCTCTAATTATTATAGCCCCGATATTAAACCCCCGTAATACCCCTTGTAGTAACCCTTATAGGACCCTTTAAAGGGAACCCTTGCAAGCTCCTCTCAACAAAACCCAGCATGGACCGCTTTCAAACGAGGTTCTTAGCATCGAGCTGAGTATACTTGCGGGCACCAGCTCATCAGTCCGCGCAGGTTTCAGTAAACATGAGCTTCCCCAGATAAGAGTTTCCGAAAATTGGTGCCCTCTGCTTTCGGAAACTCCCAGATGTTTTTTGGAAGAGGTTCGATGTCGCCTCCTTCAATTAGAATAGGGTTTTGGGGCCCGTTATACCAGAATTATAGTAAGGAACCCCCAAATAGTATAGGAAATTTTTAAAGGCCCCGATAGTATTGCACCGCCAAAAAGGGCTCCAGCCTTGAAGCAACTGCGGTCATTGCTGCGACTTCTGACAAGTTGTGCCCTGCAATTTGTTGTTCCTGGCTGATGACGAGATAGCTGAAGTCATGACCTAGCTATCTAGGTTTAGCCACTTTTTTCATTTTCAGCATCGTAACTTTAATAGACTCTCATGCTTCCTTGGCTCCCCTTGCAAAAGGATTGATAATGCCGGGTGCTGCCTTGTCAAGTCTGTGAGGTCATCGCAATCCACGAAGACGTCTCCGCCTCCCTCTGTCTCTTTCAGGGGCGCCAAGGTCCTTGGCAACGATTTGGGGCTTCCAAAAACAGGGGATCCTAATATAGTACCCTAAATAGTAGGGTTCTTATTATAAGGACCTCAAAATAAGGTACCCCTAGTTTTCGGAAACCACCATTCGGCTTTCGGGCTCCGTTCCGGATTCTCGTCAGCATGGCGTAGGTTCCGCCCGGTAGCTCCATCCTACAGCATGTTTCGGCTTCTGTCCAGGCGATATTCTAAACTTCAGTAACCAAACCGGGAAGCATGAACGACTTCTTCCTCGATCAGGAGTTGCTAACCCAGCTGCTGACCCTGTCTCTTAGACCCTTGGAGGGAAGTATCTAGTCTGGATACAGTAGGTATAAACATCCATTTGAATAGAAAAGTCCGTGTGTAATACGGACACACCGAAGGACGCCCCACATCAAGCGGCAATCCCTAAAACAACGGATGCCCAAAAGCAAGACATGCGTGCAGGAGTTGGCATGGCGACAGACTAGTTCCTGGACCTACCTTTGATTGTCTCAAACGTTGCGGCATCTACAACCTTGGATAGGCAAGCATAGCAAACCACTGATCGCTATGCGAAGAAGACTGCAAGTGCGTTGTAAGTTATATCATGTATCACACAATATCTAGTTTGGGATCACTCCAAGAGAAAGCTTCCTCCAAAGCTCTGCCAGATTCGAAGGATAGAACTGAACATCGCAAGCACATGTAACGCTGATTGATGGTGGGCAGTGGCATTACTTCAACAAGTCATGATGTTCCACATATTGAAACGCTGTTGCCGCAAACATTTGCTCGATAGTTGTTCAAACAGCTGCTTAGGTTGCTAGCATTACCAGCATCACCAAGTCTTTCCCATTGTGGTGATGGCTCGGACCCCTAGCTCTTGCCGGCATGCTCCACTTGCATGACAAGTAGCACATGGCATGATATGGATGTTGACAAAGGTACAAGCCGTTCTTCCACCGCAGTCACCACAAACATGGTGATTTACACATATTGTAAGTTTCGTATGGCTAGCGCGAAGCCGAAACCTTCATGGCAAATACCGCGGGCCCCTCTGCAAATTGATTGTGAATGGTGTCAAACAATCGAAACCGGGTTCCCACATAAACCCTGAACCCGAAATGGCCGAAAGCCCAAACAGCAGTAACTTTAAAATCCAAGTCCTACATGAATCACTACAGAGACCTTCTAAAAATAATATGATAGAACATCCCAGCCAGAACTTCCCACCCTATGCCTATGACAACTCAATCATGGTAGGGGCCTTAGTTTTTGGAATTGAGTCTTAGGGTATATGACAGTAAAGGCATACCTGAGTACCCTAAAGAGTATACCCTAAAGAGTATTCTTGCAATGCATTGAAACAATGCGCCGAAGAACTGTGCCCCTTCCTCTTGGCTGCCTCAGCTCGAATTACAGCCTAAACCTCCTTCCCCTCAGCTGCCAAGGTTCATCTTCAATAGGCGAGCCAAAGCGCCGGAGGACTTCTTATGGTGGCCTGGTTAGGGCTTTAGGTTTTAAGGGTCTCAGCATTTTAGGGTCCGGGGCTTGGGGCGGTTTTCGGGCTTAGGGGTTAGGGTATAGAGCACCATGGTTTTTTGTTGTGCCTACACGGGTTTGCTGCCTGGCTTTAATTGTCTAAGCAACTTGTCGTACGAGTATTAAAGTCTATAGGGCTTAAGAAATAGGTTGGGGTTTAGGAAGTTTTTTTTTTTTTGTATGGGCCCTTTTCCTTTAGGAGGGGTTTACGGCTTAGGATTCAGGTTCAGGAACCCTGGGCTCGGTTTCATTGGAGACGGCTGATTCCCAAAGCACCCGAGGCGTCGAAGTCACAGAGGGTTATCAAAGGGGAAAAGGAGGGAGACCCCTACCCTACTGTTGATGGTATAAACCCTGCATGACCCATAATAAGGAGTATACTATAATTCCCATAGTTTTGGGTCCTTAAGGTCATGCAGGATTTATACCATCAACCGTATCATGGGCTATATAATGGGTATATACTAGCTATATGAAGGGTATATACCTAAGGGTCCTTATTAAGGGTCCCTCCTTTTAGGCGTACCATACTGTAGAGTTTAGGGCTTTGAGTCACACATGCGTCTTGCAAAGTGGCACAGGAAGAACTGAAAGCGCTTCTTGTAGTTCACCTTCAGATGCTTTCCAACCTGAGGCATCACGTCATGTCACACATTTTGAGGCGTGGGTTGAGGTTATCGGCCTTCAGAAATGGAAACCTAACCCGACTCGAACCTAGAATCCTAAACAGGATTGAGAGCCTAAAGGGGCAATCTTTGCATGTCCGCCTGCGCGACCACAAGGATTGGGAGAGTGGTAGTGCGGAGCACTTTTTGTTTGAGGTTGAGGAGTCTCGGGCCGTTTAGGGTTGTGGGACTCAGTTTAGGGTTTAGGGCTGAGAAACCATGGCAACTAGCGGAATGAGCACAGACACCCTAATTAAACTCGAATGTAGTTCGGAGACTATGCCCCCTAAACCCTAAATCGCGGAAATAACCCCTCCAACGTATCGAGCCTGCACTTGCAGCCACGAAGGCCCCCCGCAGCCCGAACATATCTTATGTAGAACTCGACTGTCTTATAAGCTCTTATCATCTGTAGCGTATAAAACCAGGCCTGTAGATGTCGGGCTCAGGGCTTGGGGTTTAGAGCCTTGGGGCTTTGCAGAGTGGACTTGTGGTCTAGCGTTTAGGGTGGTCCCCTAAACAGTGGCACACACACACACACACCGTGGGGTTCTAATGTTCAGAGAATTGCGCAACTCGAGGTTCCCAGCGACGGGGTCTGATGATTTACACAGGATGTGTAATATAAGGGCCTTAATACTTAGAATAGGGTTTTGGGGCCATTACAATATTAGTATAAGTATTAACCCCTTACATTAGTGATATGTGCGGCCGCGTTTGCCGGATCATTTTAAATTCCGCTGGATTCGCCGCGTTTTGGGCCTCGAAATCTGCACCCTTCCTGTACTTGGAGAAATGAATCCCGCCAATACTTGGGGCAAAGCGTGAGAGCCCCCAACAAAGCACTAAAGACCCTATCAGCACCCTGTAGAGCCCATTGTGCAACCATCATAAACCCTTCTAAACGCAGGGTCCGACGAAGCTCCTACCCCTATAAATCTTAGACCCTACAAGCTCTATCAACCCTAAACCTCAAAACTCCAAAAACTGCATTGCAAGAACACATTTTCAAACGTACATGCAAGCAGCTCCAAAGAGCAGTCCGGCCAGAACGGCGGACAGGCTCATGATCCACAGAACCACCACGCAGATCGTAGTGACCACCTGAAGCAGCCGGGTTTATGAGTTTACAACACCTTAACCCTAAATCCTAAATTTCAGGGTACCCGCATTCCTATACGGGCTCATCAAAGGGTCCCATACAGAGTACTACAGAATGACCACGCAGATCACAGTCTCCACCTGTGAGGGCCAATCTAAGGTTCCTAGGCGGTTCCTTTTGGGCTACTATAAAGCTTCAATTTTTTTGCAGGGTCCAGGTTTCAAGGTTCAGGGTTATATGATCCTTCAGCAGAGTGTTTCGAACGCTTCACACTCTTACTTTACGGTTTTACGAATCAGGTGGGATCTGAACGGCTCAGGATTAGAAGACAAGAGCCCATCGAGAAGAAGCCCGACCCTGACAGGTTTTGCGATGCAGGCTGCGAGGCAAAAGTTGAGGTTTTAGGTTTTTTTTTTTTTTTTTAAGTTTTAGGGTTTTAGGGTTTAGGGCCTTGCGAGCTGCTCTGAAGAGCAGGGACTTTCAGGGTTCGGGGTAGAGGATTTAGGGTTTAGGGTCTAGGGTCTAGGGATTTTTTTTCCCTCCTACCTAGCAAGGACGAAGCCCGCATTGCAGGGTGTCTTGGATGAACTGCTGGACATGTTGAAGGGTCTAGGGATTAGGGTTTAGGGTTTAGGGATTTCAGGATAGAGGTGCTCGAATTCAGCATCAGGGGCCTCGGACCCTGCCGATAGCTCAAGCCCCTAAACCCTAAACCCTAGACCAGAAACCTGCCGGCCGAATGTAGAGGCCTTCATAGCTAGAACAGGTATTAATTGAGGCATATTATCGTAGAGAACCCCGAGGAATAATGCTCGTAGATTCTACCGCCCACTGGGCCTTGAGCCCTTCCTTAAACCCGAATCTCTGAAGGCACAAATTTGACAACACCCCACTGTACGAAATCCCGGATCGGGGTTTACCCTTAGGGTTTAGGGTTTCGGTGTTTACGGCTTATAGGGCCATACCAAGCTCACTGACCCAAACCCCACGACCCACAATGAAACCCTCGTGAGCTCCATTCGACGGCGCTACAGCACCCTAAACCCTAAATGCGCGACCCTACCCCAAACCCTAAAACCCCCGCCCCAACCGTATTAGCGGTTTAGGGTTGCGGGCAAACCCACCACACAACTCCGAGCCTGATCCCCGTCGGGACCCCGAAAGGCCCGAAATTAGGAACCTGATTGAGAAACCCTGGCCCTTCAACGACAATATAATTATTCGGACTCATATAAGGAACCCTTGTAAAGACCCAAGGTTTCTTAATCAGGTTCCTGCGTTGTGGGAGTACCCTTATAGATCTCTCATAGAAATTTAGTAACCCTGATGGACCCCTTTAAATGGACCCTGATACAAGCAAGCCCGAAAGTGACTCTCTGCGGCGGCTACCTCGCTGTCCACCTCCCGCATGTACAAGGATCCCGCGTCCTCAGCTTGAGCAACGCTTCGAGTCTACGATTAAAGGAGAAACTGCAATGAGGATAAGAATAATCAGCAGTAGTAGTAATATTCATAATGATAGTCCTGGAAATAGAAATAGAAGCAGCAATCGTAATAGCAATCGTAATAATAAGGAGAAGGTATACGGGAAGATCCACGTCGAACATGGCGCTCAGGGTCACGTAACTTTGTTCGTGTCGTGTCACTAAAGGCGTCGTGGGGCTCAGGGTTTAGGGTTTAGGGGTCTGGGGGTTTAAGGGTTTTTTTGATGCTCACACTCGGCAATGCCAGGCGAGGTCTGAAGAGAGACTGGAGGTTTAAGGCATAACTTGTTTGCACGGTTGAGTTTGGCGTTGCAAACATCTGGCTGTCAAGGTCAGACGTAAGTCGGGGTTTAGGGTTTACGGGTTCGTTGCCATTTTTAGGTGTCGGCACTGAAATATCACCGGGCTTGAAGTGAATTGTCACAAGGAGCTCTTATATTAACCCTTGCGGGCCCCGTTGATAGGAACCCTTTAATCAAGGAGCCCTATTCCAATGCTTAAGGCCCCTATGGCAAGCTCCCGGTCAAGTTTGCAAACCTACTCCAGAGAAAGACGCAACCCACAGTTTCAAATCGAAAACGCAAGCCGTAGACCTGCAAGCCCATGCACCAACAATGACGCCAATAAAACTACTCCTTTTACATCTGGACTTGACCCGCATCCCGAAATTCTACACAATAGTAGAAGATCATGACTCCTTAATTCTAGAGTGTAATCCTTAAAACGGTAAGTTCTCGGATCCCCAGATGGATGCCAACATCTCGCCACTGAGCACAGGAGCGAGGACTCTTCCCAGGCACCAGCACAGCAGTCTTTTTAACAGCTTCGAGACACCCCCGAAAACACTTTGAACTCTCCTCAGCAAAGACATGCAAATCGACAGTACTTAGTTACCTATCCAGTTACATACTAGGAAACTGAGGCCACGAGCAACCGACATCAAAGCCAGGCTCCACGTTTTAAACTCCCTGAATCCTAGACCCCAAACTTTCCTAAACGTTGAACCAGAGGCCCGAGGCCTGATACTCTAAACCCTGAAGGAACCCTTAAGGGACACCTTGAGGGAATGAAGGAAGTAACTTTTGAAGCAACTTTGTGTGCCTTCTTTTTTGGGTTAGAAATTTTAGTTGATCACACTGAAATGCAAGCTTGACGTTCGGAAAGTAGAACCAAATCCAAGCATCGAGAATGACGAGCATGCCGGTAAGAACCACTAGCTCCAGGTAGTTGCACTCCTCCGGCCGTGTGCATTCGGGTTCGCTGAGGCTTCCTTTTCGGGGTCTTCAAAAAGTTCTACAAGGATTCTGCAAGGGTCCGGTGTGCCTGAGGGTACAGCGCTCTTTAGGGGTTTCTACACGGGGCCCCTTCGGTTCCTATAAGGCTGCAGGGTGTTGCTTAAGGCTGAGGGCTATGAAGGCCTTCTATAAGGGCTGCTAGCTAGACAGGCTAGTAAGTTTGCATTTTTGCCTGGGGGATCATGGGACCGAGTAAGTAGGGTTACGACTACGACTGCCTTCATTGGGTATTGCCGAGCGGCTTCCATGCGCCAAGGTCTAACAGCTGCCGTCATGATCAGGGAAAGCCTCGATTCCAGCGAGGAACAGAAGCGCTTCGGGCTTAGGTTTTGGGGCTCAGAGTTAAGGGTGTCCTACATGGGTCAAAAAAGCCTAGCATGAGAATCTAGACTTCTCAACCACAATACTTTGCTCCCCATACCCTGTTCCATCTAGCAAGACCCCTATATGAGGCTGAAGGGTGCAGGGGCTTTGATGTTGAGGCCCTCAACAAAACAAACGACTCAAAGCGTTCGCGGCAGAGGCTTGTACGATTTTAGCGTCTACCTGTTTGAGGGGTTAGGGTCTAATGACGACCTGTTATAGCCAGGACATCCCAAATGAAGAACAATGAGACTTCCAGAATGGACGGACGATATGTCTTTCAGTCTTCCTCCAAAACTAGATCACCCCGAACCCTGTTTGTAAACTGACGTAGAGGCTCGGCTTCCGTGTTGAAGGAGCTCTAAGTTTCTAAGGTTGAGTCTTAGGAACCCAGAGATTCCAATATCCTTTAATGCAAGAAAACACTTGAAATTACATAGTAGGATCCCTCATATGATCTGAGGTATATTCTTCAATTAAGGGATATTGGAGCCTCTGGGAAGTTGCGCCATACATCTCGACTTCACTTTCGGCGATTTAAAGCTTCGGCTCGAGGCCTAGGGCCTGCATTTTCTGGGTTGTGGCCTGCGTTTCATCAAAGGGGAAAAGGAGGGACCCTTATATAATGGGGACCCCTACCCTATAATGGGCTATGTATATAATGGGTATATAATAGCTTTTTTAAGGGTATATACCTGGGGGTCCTTATTACGGGTCCCTCCTTTTCCCCTTTGATTTCAAACAGGCATCCTGCAGGTAAATCTTGTAAGTTTAAGGCTTATGGTTCAAGGTTTAGGGTCTACCTGTGGATCTGAAAACCTATCGTTTTCAGGGTTACCCCTATACTTAAGGGGTCATAACTTACGTGAGTTTTGCAGGGTTTGGAGCTACACCCTAAGGGTCCAAGTGCCCAAATAGTAGGGTTTCAAGGTCCAAAAACCATTCAGAGTATGGATTTGGGGACCTCAAACCCTACTATTTGGGTACTTGGACCCTCTGGGCTACTAACCAAAGGTAAACCCTAAACCCCTAAACCCCTAAACCCTAAACCCTAAGCCCCTAAACCCCCTAAACCCCTAAGGGTTCGGGCCGAAGCCCCAGGCTTTTTGACGACCGAGCGGTTCAGTTTGGCAGACTGCTCCCCTCCTGCGGCTCGTCACCCCAAAACCAACGGCCCTAAGTTTCTACAACAAGCCACAAGCCCCATTAAACTCAGGTTTCCAAATTTTTGCTTCTCTGTAAACCCTCAAACCCTAACAGCCTGAAGCTTGGGAGCCTACAGGCCTGCCGGCAGCTACGCTCGTCAAGACAACAGGAATAATGCACGTCATGCCGTTCCCAGATGCAGTGAAAAACAAACGTGTCCGGAGGGTCCTAGTATACTCGTACCCTATCAGAAGTATTATCGAAGCTGGGATCATCTACTTCTACGATGTATTCTTGGATCACAAGCAAATTCAAGCAGCAGGATCAATCCGTTCATCCCGAGGACACGGCCTGTACAGAGGGGTTTGGTATAGGGACTTTAAGAATCAGGCTAGGCTTGTGGCAGTGTGCATGATACTTTAGCTCTGTGGGGTCTCTATTGGAGTACGTTTACCAACCAGCCAGATGGGGCTGCGGTTACCGGTTGGCCAGATCTCCATATCTAGGATTTGGGGCTTTATGAGGGACCGCGCAACGTCCAGCTTCAACATAAAGATCTCCGACGAGACCGTAAACTTCTCAAGCCCGAAATTCCTAAAAATATGAACCCTAAGACCCTAAAAAACAAACCCTAAAACCGTAAACCCTAAAACCCCAAACCAGAACCGAACCATCTCTCCGACTCCTGGGTTCGGAGGGCCATTTGGGTTTCGGAGTCTACCGGGCACAGCCAGAGCGCTTAATACAAGGGCCGTAATAATTAGAATAGGGTTCCCTTTACAGGGGTCTGTAAGGGCTACTACAAGGGCTGTTCTAAGGATTTAGTATGGGGGCCTTAATAATTAGAATAAGGTTTTGCGGCCCAGTCTACAATGATCATAATAAGGAACCCCCCGATAGTATAGGTAAGTATTGAGGCCCCTATCCCAAATCCTAAACCCTATAGATCCCTTACAGGAGCCCTTTAAAGGTTGTATAGGTAATTGCTTAAGGCCCCTAGAGTACACAGCTCGACTATGTCGGACTGCCGAGCATGAGGTCCCACGTACCCCGAGGCTTCGAAGGTGCCTCCTGTGGCAGTTTCACCTTATTTTGGGGTCGTTATAATAAGGATCTTACTATTTAGGGTGCCATATTGGGGTCCCTTATTTTCGGAAACGCCCATATAGGCACTCTCGCAGCAAAGGACAGTGAGAAACAAGGTACAGAGGGTGCTAGTTTCTAGGGCCAGAGTGGCTACAACTAAGGTAACTATACGTTTAATTGTCATAATCCCAAGTCAAGTGCCCAGAACTGTATCTACTAAACCCCATACATGGGGCGCCTTCACCCCGAAGCCTGAAGCCGTCGGGGCCAGAAGCTAGTTTCGGGGCCTTTACTTGGATACCGCACCCACCCTATAACAGTCTACACTCGGGGTCAAGATAATAAGGGCTATAGATACGTAGGTTCGAAATATCATCCAGCTGTTACAGAGTGGGGGCAGTACCCAAGCGTTAATACCGCAATTCGGTTATGGGGTACAGTATAGTAGATCAGTAGAACTATAGCAAGGAACCCTATACGAGCGTATCGCGATTTTTCAGGCTTCTATGTTCGACTCTTCAGTCGGATTCCGGCTTAAAAACTGGACGGTTCCGCCACCCACATATGGGATCTCTCAAGGTGCCCAAACTTGGAGTTCAGGTCTAGGGGGTCCGTAAGTAAACATCGAAACACAAGGATCTCGTAATCTAGGGGCCATGAGAAGACCCATGAAAATTATATACTACAAATTATGATACTAAGGAACCCCAAACGGGTTTAGGTAGTTGTACAGGCCTCTGTAGTAGGGCTACAGATCGATGCCATACTTGCGACCTGTACCCCAAAGCCCTGAATCCATGTACATCTGTAATAGAGACTTAAGCCTTACAGGGTCCCTATGTAGGTACTTTAAGGCCTAGGTATATAGTACATGGGTGCATGGAGCAACATCCGAAGAGCCTGATGGCGAAGTGATCAAAGGACAAAGAACCTGAAAAAACAGCCAGCGGTTCAGGGCTCGCAGTTTGTAATGCCTTAAGGGTTTATGGTGTATGTGAAATGGCTTATTACTTGGAGGGCTTTCTACTTTAGGGCTTCGGGTCTAGTGTGTCTTCGCAACTGCCGGAGTTCAAGCGGACACTTGCACTCTGGTGGCTCAGGGCAGTTTGCACAATCAGCGAGTGTCTTAGCTCCAACGGGACGGAGGCATGGAGAGGGAGAGAGAGAGAGAGAGAGAGAGCGAGAGCGCGAGGGAGGGAGGGAGGGAGGGAGGGAGAAAGAGGGAGACAAAGGGAGAGACGGAGACATGAAATTGGGAACACAGCGCGAACCCGCAACAACCGAGCTGCAAAAGAGTTCTAGACACGGACCGCGGACCAGCACCCGGAGGCAAAGGGTGGCTTGAGGTTTAAATCATCTTAAGTGCGTGTTTCCGTACCTGGGTTGCAGTTAGCGCAAACTTTAAGAAATGGTGTGCTGCAGTGTTGCAGCTCCGTATGTTTTCGGGTATGGAGCTTGGGTTGGGGTGGTGTGGATGGATTGGTGCTTGCTTTCTCCCTCTACCTCCATCTCTGTTTGTCTGAACTCTCTCACCCTGGCTTACTCGCTCACCCTGCCTCTTTCTGATTTCTCATTCGTCGCTGTCATTTTCTGTACTGTTTCAAGTGCGGAGCCATTGTGTGAAATCGTTTGTTTCTGCTCAGCATGCAAAGCAGATGCAGCAGCCGGAAAGAGTCATTACTCACTGCCCCAGCTAATCAAAAGACACTGGAACAAGCAGAAGGTCAGGATTTCTTACAAGATGGCCTGCTCCAAAATGACCTCGAGACTACCTCCCAGCTCAACTGAGTCGCCACAAGGGCGTTGCGTGCCAAGTGGAAAACGGCGAATCGCTCCGCACCGGGGCGATAGCGAATGAGCAAAAAGGACGTGTTGCGGATGAAGCGCACCTGGGAAGGCCGAAATCCCGAAACAGCACACCCCGTGCTTCGAAACCGTGGCGCATCGGCCCTCTTGCCGCGGGACTATTCCAGTCGAGTGACAACAGTGGCTAACTCTTAGATATGCGCGTGGCGATTGAACCAATAAGCCTGACATCCTAAACCCTTAGCTCTAGCTTTATCAACCAACAATCCGAATCCTCAACTCCGAATACACCGAAGCGGTTGCAGTCTAAGCTGCGTCTGCTTGCATCAGGCGTGTGGGGAGCTGAATCAATACCACACAGCACCTGAGACCAAGGGCGAGTCTCCCAACGAAAGGGCCTTTATCATGTGGGTAGTTATCAAAAATATGGCCCCTGTTTGGGGTACCCCAAAAATATTAGGTGCCTTTTTACCAATAAGGACCCAAAAAGGGACCCTCATTTTGACAACCACCCATGTAAACACAGCCCCTAGGTTCAGGGATTCTCTGCTCTGAATTTAAGGCAAGCTCTGCAGTCTTCCACTTCAGGGTCAGCCGTCACCAGCTCGAGCTCATAATCGGTTTATGATATCCGAACACTGGAGAACCTGCCGTTTCAGAGCTCCTTCTTACTGTTTCCTTGTACAAGTCCTTGCGAGCGGCCAGCGGCTGCGCCTGAGTGAATAATGCCGTAACGGCCATTATCAGAGACCCAAATTTACGGTGCGGGGTGCTCGAAAAGACTTGTCGTTACTTATGGGGTTTAGCAAGAATTTCGGGCTTGGACATCCCAGATAAAATTTTCACGGCTTAAGAATGCTTATGATTTGCAGGTCGAGGGTTTAAGTTGAGGTAAGGACTTTGGCAACCTTTGTCGGGTTTGTGTGTAGGGCTTTAGTTCAGGAGTTTGGCAAGTCTTAAGTCCCAGTTTGCTCCAAGGTGCACAACGAAGAATGCGACAGGCATGCAGCATGTGGCAAGCCCAATGAGCACCATCCAAAAATGCGTGTCTTCGCCGTTACCTTGCCGGATAGGCGGGTGATTATCAAAATAACTGTGCGAGTTCATTGCGATTTATGGCGGCTTTGCGATTTCCAATACTTTGAGTGTACACTTTTAGTTTTATACTGGGTAGTGAAATCCCAAAAAGTGTAAAGTGTATACTCAGCTACTATAGACGTAGTCTCCTGGGATATTCGCGTGTTTCAACCATTACAATGCTATTCCTGGTCTTGTTGTCGTGGGAAGGAAGCCGCAGAACAGGATATCCAAAACAGGCACATGGGTGGTTGTCAAAATTGGGGTCCCTTTTTGGGTCCTTAATATATATATATATATATATATAATACATATAATACAGCACCTAATATCTAGGGTATGCAAAAAGGGACCATAATTTTGACAACTACCCACAAGCAGGCTGAGAGCTTCGGGTTCGGATTTGGGGCTTCAAGGTCAGTGTAGGGTGGATGATATAAATCCTGCATTACCTTAAGGACCCTAAACTATGGGAATTATGGTATATTCCTTACTATGGGTAATCCAGGATTTATATCATCAACCGTAGCAGGCTTCGGAACCAACAAGTGCGAGTGGCACAAGGCGCCAGGATAGTCCTGCAAGGCGTGGAACATCAACACCCGAAACCCCAAAGCCTTAAGCTACCACTATAAACCCTAAAACCTACCCGGAAATCTTATAAGATACGGCATAAGTCCGTTGCAGCAGTCTCGACGCATGGTTGAGGGTGCAGGAATGGGGCAGCTTCCTTAGCGGTCCGGGTTCCCTGATATCCTGCTCTCTAAGCCGGAAAAGGCTAGCAGCTACTAGGGTCTAGGTCCACGGTTTACAGCTTGGGCTTGGTGACAAGGGTTCAACTTAACACACGGCACGCACAGGTTATGGGCTCGACTTGCACTCCCTGGCTGAATCAATCACTCGCATGATTAAGCCGCCCTCTCTTCAGGGCCTTCTGATAAAGACATCTAGTAAAAGCCTGCTAACGAAGGGGCTCATATTCGTCAACGGCCTAAACGAAGCCTAACCCGGTTGACCGTTGAGGCTGGGACCAAAACTAGATACGACAACTGAAACCGGACAGGCGATTGACAGCATGCAGCCATCGAGCCATCTTTAGGGTTAAGGGGTTTAGGGTTTAGGGTTGCCATGGCTTTACGTGTGTGGCCAAAGAAAGACGTGTATCACGGCAACTTGAAGAGAATTTGGTGGCTTCCGCATGGCTGATCTGGAGGACTCACTTCGCAGGTAATATAGGGGCCTTAATAATTAGAATAGGGGTTTGGGGCCCCTTATACTATATTTATAATAAGGAACCCCAAACTAGTTAGTATAGGTAATTATTGCGGCCCCTATATTAACACACGTCTCCGGGAAGAAAGTTTTTGTTGGTGGTTTTGTATAAATGTAAAAGTCGTGGAGACTAACATGCGCCAGACACCATGCCTCACACCTCGAACCTGGGAGGAGTTGACACACTGGGCCAAGGCATATGCCTTGTTGACCTTGATGTCAGTAGCATGCGAGCACTAATCTGGCGAATTAGGTACGAGTTCCTACAACTGTAGAATTCACAGCGAATGGGCGTCCCGACGTCCAAGTGTAGATGTAACGACCGTAAAGCCACTCAGAAGCACCAGTTCAACCAAACTCCAGAGGGCTTAGACTTATTGCTTCAGGTACTTCCCCTTCATTAAAGGCTACTGGCCTCACGGCAGAATACCACTTCCTAAGCCCCGAACCCGAAAACCCTCAACCTGGCGCTTCCTGCACCGTCCACAGGCCGTTTGGATGCAGGTGGCATCGGAAGGGAGCCAAAATTGCCGAGCAAAGCCTGCCAAGCTGTCTGGCTCTTAGTAGGGGATAGGGTTCCTTTCAGGGTTACTGTGGAGGTTGCTACAAGGGTTATACTATAGGGGTTTAGGGTTCTTAGTAGGCTATCAGGTTCTTAGTAAAAAATAGGGGAATGGGTTATTGGGACTACTATAAGGGACCCTTAATGGACTATCATAGGGATCCATGACCCCCATTCCCCACTTAGCACCAGGGAGCAAGCAGTGGGCCACCAGGTTTGGCGTTACAGGTTTAGGGATCGATTGAAAAAGAAGTCTACTATAGGGGCCTTAATAATTACCTACTAATTAATAATTATGCTATTTTGGGGGGTTCCTCGTTATAACTCTAGTATAATGGGCCCCCAACCCAATTTCTATTTTGTGCGGCCCCAATATTTTAAGGCTGGCTCTTTTCGAAAGCGTCGATACGCACGAAGAGCAGTTTCGCTTCAAAAGGCCGTGTGCTCCGTGTGCCCGGAAATCATGTCCAATCTTGACAACCAGCAGAGAGTAGAATCGGAACTTGGTGCATACTTGTCCAGTATCATGGGGAACTAAAGGTTAACCTTTGGGATTATATAGGGGTTATAGTACCCCGAAAAGGTTAAAGGTCACCTACTCTACCCTAAACCCTAAATCCTGAACCCTAAACCTCTAAACCGTAGGGCGCATGGCATGTGTGTCAGCCCCGAAGGCCGATACAGCCTAAACCTGAATTCAAGGCTATAAAGGGAACTCCAGAAAGTTGGAATATGGTTTCAGGGTAGGATACCCTATAATTTACCATAAAGGGTTTAGGATAATCATACTCGAACTTTCTGGCTTTTACTATAGGCACACGCACCGTAAACCCTAAAGCCCCCGCGACACCGAAACCCTGAAAACCTTTAAGCCCTACTTAAAGGAGCATGGGACTTAGTAACTAGGGTCATCATTCGGGAAGCCATACTTATACTTGCTTATAACCCGAATTAGGGTACTTATAACCTTACTTACTAAGTCCCTTGATCCTCTAAGTAAGCCATAAACTACCTAGCAGCAGCCCTGGGGTAGTGTGACCCAGGCTTGTTAGCATCTCTTTTCACTTGACAGATCTATAGTACCTGAGCTCATACAAGCTAATGTCCTTCGATGGTTGTTGTGAACACTAAAAACCCTGAGCAAAAGCCACACGGATACTGCGGGAGCTTGCCGAAATCCAGGTCCAAACCCTTAAACTACAGCCTATAGTTCAGGTTTTCGACGCTCACACTCGCACAAGGCAGGCAGGGCTACGCATAGTTAGGGTTTAGGGTTTATACCCTGAACATTTAATCCCAAACCCGACTTCCTAGACCCCAAGCCCTCGTCGAGGTGCGTGATGAAAAAGGTGATAAAAATCGAGCCCAAAGCTCCCACAAGCATCTCGAGCTTCGCCTCACCACTAGGGGTTTAGGGTTTAAGGGTTTAGGGTTTACGGTTTAGGGGTTTACGGTTTAAGAATTTAGCATGTTTCGCTGCCCTTCTTAACCCTACACTTTTTCTCACATGGGACTAACACCTTGTTTTGGGGAGTGGCTGTTAGCTTGCCATCGTAAAGCCAACTCATAAACCTAAACTCTAAACCCTTAAACCCTAAACCCTAATCCCTAAATTTCTATGGGGTTTCGAAGTGAGTGCTGGGCCTCGGCTGAGGCTTTGCATGGATCCAGAAGGAAACGTATGATTTCAGGATTTATAGTTTATTATAGTTTATGGGGCTTTGGAGCTTCTGAGGGGTCGTAGACTGGGCTCTTAAATCGGAGGCCTTTTCGAATTGGTGTTGAGAAAGGCTGCAAAGAAACCGAGAAGGACTTCATAATTGCAATGAATGATAGAGGGCAATAGATTTTTCTATGCATATTTATCTGGGGGTTGATAGGTAAAGGTTTTCCGAGGAGGGCTGCGCAAGGAAATGTAATAGCGCCTTGCAAGGGCATGTAGGGCTTGACACGGCGCTCGCTACCACTCCTCGAACTCAGACGGTCCTTCATATTACTAAACCTGAACTTAATCCTAAACCCTAAACCACCCTAAACCCTACAAAGCCTTAGCCGGACCTTAACCCTTAATCCTATACCCTAAACCCTTAACCGGACCTTAACCCTAAACCCTAGACCCTAAACTCTAACCCTAAACCCGCTTGAAGTTTGTCGGCTCAGGGCTTTCCACCGTAAATCCCCGCGACAGTACCATAGGGGATACCTGGGGATCCAAAAACCTACCGTTTTAAGGGTCAGACCCTCTAATTAAGGGGTCATAACCTACTATTTTGTAGGGTTCGGGGATACTGGTAGGCAACTATTCCGGCTTCTATACCAAGCAGGTCACGCTCGTGGAGCGTATTGAAAGGATGTAGAAGCCGTGGATGATGGCCAGCACCACGGTGATCATGGGCACAAGCATCGTCTGAAGCCTGGAGTTGTAGGGATTTTGGAATAGGCTTCCAGGTTTTCGGGGCTCCAGGCTGATTTAGGGTATAGGGGTTAGGGCTTTAGTGTTGAAGGTTCAAGGCTTTACGGGCTTAAGGCTCGGAAATTTCGGGTTTTTCGACTCTCAAGTCGCACGGGATAGTCAAGGCTGGACGGCGACTGGCCCAGCAGTATCCAGTACCAGGACCATCGCCCAACAACCAACGATCTACTGCGAGGAATCAGAAGTCAGACAAACCATGAATCAACACACGGTATAGCTCAGGTCGATAACTGTAAACAGTTTCAGTTTGTAAACCTAGCAACGACATTGCCCACTTCCAAACCCTGAAGACACGATCAAGAAAGATTGCAAAACTATTCCTGAGGGATCCTTATCAAATTACAGTATAATGGTTAGAATAGAATGGACCCAAAACCACATTCTTGTGTTTATTCCTTGTTAGAATTACCCGCTATATTCCAACACGCTAGAACAATAGGGCATGGTAAGAAGCCTGCAGCTCAGCCAATTATCTCGTGGTTTGCGGCATGAAAGAGGTTTGGGTAGTTTGGAGTCGGGGCTAGGGTTAGGGGTTTAAGAGAGTCCAGTACGGGGGCTTAGAGTTTAGGGCTTAGGGCTTCGCACGCACTTCTGGCTGAAGATGACGGAGCTATGTTGTGAAGTAAACCCCAAATGCCAAACTACTAAAGACGCCCTAAACCCTAAACCCTAACAGACGGGTCATGAAAGGAATCCGCGACATGGGCAGGTCTAAGTCTGAGTTGAAGATGGGGTACGTAGGACCGTACTGCACCCGTGAGTATGGCCGAATTCCGAAAAGCATCATGTAGGGGGCACGTTAGCAATCACGATCGGGTTTTAGTAATAGGATAGTGTTACCAATTCTTCAGAAACCCTGTCTACTTTTGACCTCAGCAACCCCACAGCCTGAGCCCCAAGTTCAAAAATCCTGTAATCTTCGCTCGGGGCGCATGTACCGCGACAGCTCCCCAGGCGCATAGCACTGCAACGACACCATGTCGAGATTCAGACTGATGAACTCCGCAAACTGCATGATGCCTCGAGAAGCAGCAGCAGCAGCAGGAGCAGTAGTAGTAGCAGTAGTAGTAGTAGTAGTAGTCTTTGCCTACTGCTGCTGCTGCTACTACAGTTATTACTTTAGCTCCTCTACTACTACTACTACTACTACTACTACTACTACTACTACTACTACTACTACTACTACTACTACTACTTACTACTTACTACTACTACTACTACTACTACTACTACTACTACTACTACTACTACTACTACTACTACTACTACTACTACTACTACTACTACTACTACTACTACTACTACTAACTACTGCTGCTGCTACTACTACTACTACTACTACTACGACTGCTGCTGCTGCTGCTACTACTACTACTACTACTACCCTATCCCCCCCTGGTGCGACGCCGGTCGCAGAGTTCGTGGATGTACAACATGTTTCCATCAGAACTGTCGAGGAATGCGCTAGACCATGGACGTCGTTAGGTTTTGGACATGGATGCTCTCCAAACAAAAAAAATGCGCTCGACCATGGACGTCATTAGGTTTTGGACATGGATGCTCTCCAAACGTCAATGCGCTAGACCATGGACGTCATTAGGTTTTGGACATGGATGCTCTCCAAACCAAAATGCGCTAGACCATGGACGTCATTAGGTTTTGGACATGGATGCTCTCCAAACCAAAATGCGCTAGACCATGGACGTCATTAGGTTTTGGACATGGATGCTCTCCAAACCTCAATGCGCTAGACCATGGACGTCCTTAGGTTTTGGAAATGGATGCTGTCTTTTCCAACCTTTTGGATGAACACCATGATCAAAATTAGGCCATAAAAAACCTTCATTCTGATCGCTAGGTTTTGGGCAGGAAAATCGAGACTTCAAAAAACAGCAAAAAACATGAAATTCGCAAAGACAAGTGCTGTAAATACCAGCATTTTGAGGTGCGAGATTGATGAACAATGATAGAAAACATGATAACAATACACACGAAACCAGGAACAGTTGCCACTTTCGATAACTGCGAAAAAAGTGCCGTAAAACACAGCATTTCCGACCACTACAAGTCCCCAAAAGTCGCACCGGCGGGGCATGCGGTACTACTACTACTACTACTACTACTACTACTACTACTACTACTACTACTACTACTACTACTACTACTACTACTACTACTACTACTACTACTACATACGACGAAGACTACTACGACGACCGCGACTGCTCCTGCTGCTCCTAGCGGTGCGACACTTGACCCTCTATACTCGATCCATTGGAATTCCTGTCCCAAAGTTGTACCCAGGTCGCTGTGGAAGGGTTCGCCCCAAACGATCTCAAATTGCTGGATGACCAGGAGCTGCTGGAATGCAGTGACCTTAGGTTCATGGGCAAATGCACGTGGGCTCGTGAGTACTTTTGCCTGTCGCAAGAACATATGGAAGTCAAACGCAGTCACAAAGCCATAGTATAGATCCAACCAGATCCCTGCATTGGGCATCCTGCATAAAAGGCCTAAGTCCCGCTGACTCCTAAACAACCGCAATGTCAAATCGGGGTTTAGGTGTTCATATGTTTTGGGAGTTCGGGCTTCGGGCTTGTAGGGTGTAGGGATCTCAAGACTTGGGGTTTTTACCAGACACCGTAAGCCCTACGAGCCCTACAATCCATATAAGCCCGATTTATAGACCCAATAAGCCCCATAAGCCCTAAACCAGGCCATGTTACTGCTCTACGTCTGTGAGAGTTTCGGGTTTGGGGCTCAGGGCTTAGTGTTTGGGGTTTACGGGTTAGAATTGGTGTAATGTTTTTAGGTTTTGGGACCTTGTTGTAGGATAGCTCCACATCCCTTTAGATATCAGTTGGTCCGTCAAAGGTAGCATGAGTTTTGCCTCCCACATGGCTTGGCAGAACAAAGACTGGCACACTTGGTTGCTTCGGAAACTGCCGGAAGCATCTTAGACGGTTCCACAACAGCTTCGTGCCGCGGTGACCCACTGCTTCAGCGTCGAAACCATGGAACCCTGAACTGAACCCTCAACCCACAGCCCGCTAAACTCAAATAAACTCAAGATCCGACATGGGAGTTTCCGTAAATAGGGAACCCAAAAATAGTACCCCAAATAGTTGGTTCCTTATTATAACGACCCCCAAAGTAAGGTACCCCTAATTTTCGGAAACTCCCACATGTTGCCAACCCCATGAGCAGTCCAAGGAACAAATTGTCCGAGTGCCAGAGCTGTGATTAAAACATGCCCCGGATAGCCAGTCCTTGCAGGGGGTGCACCGCACCAGAACCCGATACTGCTTCAAGGCTCCTAAACCCTAAACCGTAGCTCCCCTAAACCCTGGCACCCCTAAACCGTAAACCCTGTATAATGAATTCGACTATCGAGCCTAGGGCCTAACAACCCTAACGCACGGCTTCTATAAGCAATCATCTGACTAAACAGTAACTCGTACGTTACGTTGACGGGACCACTGGGTCGTTCTGGTGACAAACATGCGCAAACGTTCGCATGTGAATTCAAGAACTTAATTTTTGGACGCGCCCTAACAAGGGCCCGACAGTCCGCACAGAACCGAACAGAACAGAACCGAACTCCTACGACAAATCAGAACCACAGTGCGGATGTGACAGTATGCTGGTTTAAAGAGTGCCTTGTACGACTAATTAGCGACCTTACTGGAGAGCCGCGCTACTGGAGTAGCATAAGGAGTAGCATAATAGTCACCGTAGTAGTAGTCGTCGTCGTGGTAATCGTCGTCGTAGTAGTAGTAGTAGTAGCAGCAGTAGTAGTAGCAATAGAAGCGTTGCGCGAAGTCCTGGAGCTTCGCCGCACCCAGATTAGGTACATGCAGAACAGCACGCCAATGGTGGACAAGAGGACCTTGACTTCAGGTTCAGGGTTTAGGGTTTAGCACTTAAGCTCTAAACCCCTAAGCATTGGGTCCTTAACGGAAACCCCTAAACTCCTACGCCGTAAGTTAGTGCTTGGGGTCCCTCCCCCTCTCCAGTCAAGGTGTGTTCTTACTTAGGCCCGCAGCCCTATGACCGAATGGGCAGTGCCAGTCAAACGCTGGTTTGGTTTTAGCGCTTAAGGCTTAAGCCTTTGACACCCAGCACTGTTGGGAACATCAGCTTTATTTCAGTTCGACATGGGCAAACAGTTTCATCTAAGCTACAGAGAGCAGGCATGCGGCTGAAGCTTCGGAACTCAATCCTTCCAGCCGATCCTCGACCCCCGGACTCCCCCTGGGGAACCGCTTGCGGTTCGAACCTTAACCATAGAAGTGGCAGCCTCTGTACAGGATTGCGGCGAGGAGGCTGGGGGTGATGGGCTTACAGGATTGGGTTTTTTTACGGTTTAGGTTCCCTTTCTCTAACCCGTACTGAGGCCGATGCGTGTGACGGGAGAGAGCGTTCTCCGAACAACTCACAGTGTTCTCCGAACAGCTCGCAACAACAAGGATGCATGCGAGGTGCATCCAACTCGAGATCTCAGAGATCAGATGTAAGATACTCAACTTGCGAAACCCGACCCAAAGGAACAACACTAAACGAAACTAGAAGCCGTCGAGTAAAAAGCTCATCGAATCGTGGCAACCGACTGCAGAATGCAATCCAGCGACCGATCACTGCAGAGAAGATTGTACAGTCCAGCAAACCCCTAAACCTGAGCAGCTTGGCTGACTTTTGTCATTTGTCGGCCTCAGGGCATCTTGAACACTTAAGGGTACTTAGGAATAATTTCATATTTGGCTATTATAATCCCTAAGAAACAGCTAAAATTACAATTTTTGCTAGGGTTCTAAGTTCAGTATAGAAAATGGGATCAAGCAACCACGACAGCTGGGAGTATCCGATGTTGACGGGTGCTACTTTCCACCAGACCCGAACTTGGATAACTCCGAACCCTAGGGCCCACAGGCATAATGTAGGGGCCTTAATCATTAGAATAGGGTGTTAGGGCCCAATATACAATGACTATAAACAAAACAAGGAACCCACAAAATAGTGCATGTAACGATTAAGGCCCCTATAGCAGGGCCATAAACCCTAAACCATTAAACCCTAAACTTCGAGCCCTAGGGCCCACAGGCATAATGCAGCAAGCCACGAAGGCTGCAAAGAGCGTGTCGCCGGCTGCACACTTCGTGCAGTTGCTGTCCTGCAATTTCAGCTTCCAGGATTTTAGAGTTTCAACACTCACACTCGCACAAGGCAGGCAAGGCTCCACTTTAAAATTTAGTTTTAGGGTTCAGGGCTTAGGAGCTTCGAGGATTCGAGTTTAAAGGCTCAGGCCTTTCTGGACGGGCTGGCCGAAAGGAAACACTAAACGACGCAAGGATGAAGGGCTAAGAGCTTCGGATTTAGGTTGGGTCACATTTAGTGCACAAAAGGCACACCTTTTTTGTAACAGCCTCTGCTTGCACAAGTCTCCCAGGCTCTTTTGCTGTGTGTGTGAGGGCCTTAACTACGAATGCCATAACGATTGGTCCTACAAATTACAAGGCTTTGCTTCACATGTGCTGGTACAGAGTATCGTAGTGCCACACTAACAGTAGCAGTCGCAGTTGAAGAAGTGGTGACGGTGGCAGTGTACCGGAAAGGTCATGGTAGCGATGTCAGTCTAAGCCTAAACCCTAAACCCTAAGCCATGTCGTGCTCGTCCTCGCTTTTTTTTGCTTGTACTCGCTTGGACCTTCCCTCTGACCGACTCAAGTCCATGTGGGACTCTTGATGGGAGGCCAAAAGGGGGTTAATATGAACCCGATTATGGGAACCCTGACCCCTACTAAATCACCATAGGCTAAAACCCCTTGTGGCCTCCTATGAACTCTGGTCCGGGACCCTCAAACTGCGAGTCGGGGGGTTCCCGAAGCCGTAAACCGTCGATCCTATACGGGAGTTTCCGAAAATAGGGGACCCGAATGTAATACCCTATAGAATAGGATCCTTACTATAAGGTCCCCAAAACAAGGTACCTCCATTTTCGGAAACTCTAAACCCTTATACAGCCCTTTAAAGGAACCCTTATAGTACTCTTATAGTATGCCTTTAAAGGAACCTCTATTTTCCGAAACTCCCATACGGCTACTGAGACCGAGACCTTGACCCTGCGGGCCTTGAACCGCATGCCTGGCAGGCAGCTTCCGCAAGCGATGCTGCTGGGATCGCGGCCTGCGTCGGGGACTAGGGTTCAGGGTTTAGGGCTCTGTGTTTTAAGTAGAGGCTAGGATGAGACGTCAGGCTTGGGGTTTGGGATCTAAACTTGCAAGGCTCAGGATTTCGGCTTCTACAGGATTCCAGGAGAAGGGTCTAGCTGTTTCGGGGTGCCGACATGTCGGGCTTGGGTGGTTTGGGTACTCAAGGGGCCTTAAGAAGTAGAATAGGGTTCTGGGGCATACGGTATGAAAGTTATATTGTGAATATAACTACAGAGGAGTCTTGCTACTATCTTGCTTAGGCCCCCATCTTGGATAGGTCTTGGCGTGGCTGCGGGTGGGGCATGGGATGCAGGGATGTGCAATCTGCTTATAGTCTTTTCTCGCACTTCACTGTCCAACAAAGGTGCACCCTGAAATGCTTCAGGGGAGGCTGCAGACAACTAAATCCTAAACGCTGGCCTAATCCGAGACCTTAACCCTCAACCGATGCAGATTCTGGAGCACAGCCGGCGAGAGGCAGATGATGTGATCTTATGTAGCAATGTAATGTAGCGGCCTGAATAGTTAGAACAGCGTTTTTGGCTCCTTGCTTGTATAATTACGATACAAGGGAGCCCTAAGGAATCGCATTGGCGATTGCTGGGCTTGTTTATTGGGACAGGCATCGTCTTGAAGGCTATAAAGCCATAAAGCTGCCCAAATTCTTAAACCGTCACAACAATCGTCTTGACGGCCCAACAAGCCTTAATCGAAGAAGATATCTTAAACTACTCCAGAGGCTCCACATATACCACTATTAAGGAAGTAGGGCCCCCACAACCATGATGGTCGTTTGGGGCCAACACATAGTGTCACCGCCCCCCACTCCGACACTCATGTTGGGCTTTGGGGGAAAACTGCCAACCCAAATCCTGGTCCCCCTCATTCTTCCTCGCACTACTACTCGTACTAGTTTACTAGTACTAGTACTAGTACTAGTACTAGTACTACTACTACTACTACTACTACTACTACTACTACTACTACTACTACTACTACTACTACCACTACCACTACTACTACTAATAATAATAATGCAGTGCTGCAATGATATGAGTCCTCAGCCGGCAATTTTCGGCACCGAAAACAGAAACGAACAGTTGTAACCGTCGAGTTATGTCCGAAGAGCATCCAAAGAACAAGATCGGGTCTCTGACCCTTAGGGCTCTAATATCGTAGCCTAGATCGTAGGATCCCTTTTATAAGGACCCCCAAAAAAGGTAGTCCCAATTTTCGGAAACTCCCAAATCTGATAGTAGGGCTCTAAGGATTCATACTTGGGCCCACAGCGCAATGCTGTATCCTAAGGGTTTGGGGCTGTGTTGAGCCCTTTAGGGTAGAGCACAAAGAAAGTTTGAAGCAAGCTTGGCAACCTTCGGCGCAGGTGCCGGGCTCGCCGCCCGGGCAGGCCATGGCAATGCCGAAGCACTTGTAGATGAAGTTCGGCTCCTCTACATGCAAGGACATGAAGCAGGCGATACATAACAATTCTAAGGAGGCATTATTTATAACTTCTTTATCATAATTTGGTCTTATATCTTCATAAATGAAAGGGTTCCGAACTCCCCAGTCGGGGCTACTTAAGCTCGCATGGTCAGGAGAGGAGTGGTCCTGAACCCTGGACTTTTTAAAGTGTGGGATACAGCCCAGCAGAACGACTAAAACCATAAATGCATCCAGCTTCCAATGTGCAACGCAATATACTGGTTTGGGCTTTGAGGCGTAGAACCCCGCACTTCTATCGTCTGAAACTTTATGGACAGGGAGGCATTTTCCTTGTGTGCCAACTAGCCCAAAACCGGTTCTACAAACTTCGGACCTTGTGCTTTCATCAAAAAAGGAGCCCAACTAAATTTCAAGAGGGTTCAGTTGCGTATGACAGTAGCGTAAACATTGAGATTATTTGGGGACAGTATGGGACAAACATGGTTCAGGGTTTATGAATTAGTGGTTAGGGATTTGGGGTTTAGGGTTATGGTTGGAACCTTCATATATTCCGACCCCTGCATTGCTTGGAGTCACAGGATAAAGCCTCAGGAGTACAGAGCCGGTGCCGTAGCTTAGTTGCCGAGTTCATAGGGGCCCCCCAAAGTGTACACTTTTAGTTTTATACGGGGTAATATTATCCCAAGAAGTGTAAACTGTATCCACTCAGCAACTAAGGCAGTGCTCTCGGACTGATCCATGGAAGCCCTTATAGTTCGTCTCCAGCGCCAGGCCAGGTTTGGGGTTTGGGGTTTCTACGTCCTTCGATCCCGAATATCTTGACTATGCTGACGAGCTCTGCAGGTTGGAGCCTGGCATGCGAAGATTGAAAAGAAACGACGCCAAAGTTTAAGCGTTCTGAACAGCTTTGACACAATTTGGTTGTAGTTTTTTCCGACTATATAAGCTTGAAGCCCACGACGGGCTTGGAGGGCTCCGGGCGAACCCACGGGCGAACCCTAGAATCCCAAACCCCTTAAGCTCCTACCCTAAAGATCCCAAACCCCAAACCCCGGAACCCGAGGGCAGAAGATCCCATCATGCTTTTGTCCTCCACTGTGGCGAAGTAGCCTGTTGCAGCGATTGGGGCGTTCAGAGCATTGGGATTTGATGGGTCCCTCAAAGGTTTCTCCATGAGGGTTCAGGGTTTATGGGGTTTAGGGGCTAAGGGGTTTCAGGTGTGTTTGATATTGGGGTTTAGAGCGCAAAAAAACATCACATGCACAGCAACTGCAGCAGCAGTCACCAGGAGCTGTCACATGTGACGACTCGCATGAGATAAACCAATGAATGACGGAAGGACGACGACTACTGTTACTTGCATCATGACAAGATGACGGTAGAGCATGGATCCAGAGAGCAAGCCCTTGTGTGAGTCTTTGCAAGAAACGGGTTGCTTTTCAGTACATTGCAGCAGCCGCAAACCCTAAACCCTAAACCCTAATCAATAAGTTCAAGCATACAAAGCATCTCGAAGTCCACACCAGCTTGAGCCAGAGTCACCATCGTCCCTAGACCCTATACCCATAATCCTGGAACCCCACTATATACCCAACTCTGACATCAAGCGCAACTTCTTCTGCGGAACCTGGCTGCAGCGTCAGGTTGCCGTTGCCGCTGCAGATGGATCCAAGCTCGCAAAGTTCACATCGCCTGACTGCTTAACTTTCGCATCCAAAATGCTAGTATGAAGGTTCTAACCATAAACCTAAACCCCAAACCCCTAACCGCTAATTCCTAAACCATGCAACATATAGGGGTTCCACGGGAGCGTATCTCTGGTTGAGAGTTTCTTCCGTCTGAATGGGTCCAGAATGGGTCTTTGCCCATCGCACCGTAACGTTTAGGGTGTAGTCGAAGAGTTTAGGACTTCGCGTCTCCGTAACTATACTGAACTTAGGACCCTAGCAAAAATTACATTTTTCGCTGTTTCTTAGGGGTTATAATAACCAAAAATTAAACATTATTTCTAAGTACCCCTAAGGTAATCTACATCCTGTCCCAGGGTCCTCGGCTCTGAATGAGCCACGACAGGCATTAATTACATGCGCAGTACTCATCGGCCGTGGACGTCTTGTATCATACTCTTTGCACCGGGTTTGTGGTTGAGGATGCGCCCCGTATCTCACGGTGTTGTTCAGAAGAGTGACATCGGTTGTAGCATCATCACTTGAGATGGTCAATGCACAAATTCAACCTGATCTCACTCTACGCCTTAACAGGTGCAATCCAGCAGCCCATTCGTGCGGAAGGCCCCTGCCACACAGCTGCACTCTTCCTGACAAACTTCTGAAGATCTTCGCTTGGGATTGGTCATAAGCGATCGTGGGGCACTGGACCATCTACCGCCAGTGGCAAACCACAAGAGAATTGGAAAGCTGGCTATGGCCGGCCCATGAAACTTGCTAACAGCAGTGCTAATCACTAGTCACACGTCCAGCCCAAGACCTTCGGATGTCTTGAGTTCTTTATTAGCATTACTTAGTGTTCAGCGTTGAGGTTGTTTTTGGTTAAGGGTTCAAAGCCCCCAAATGGCAAAGCCCCCAACAGTGTACTGCAAACCCTGAACCACAAGCCCTGAACCCTACATCAGAGTCTGCATCCTTCCAGTTCCGGAGGGAAGGCTGCCTACTATAGGGGCCTGAATAACTACCTACACTATTTTGGGGGTTCAATGTTACTTATATTTGGATCATACTGGGCCCCAAAACCCTCTTGGAACTATTGAGGCCCCTATATTATATACGGTGGGAGAAAGTTGCAGATTCAGGACCTGAGACTTTAGCACATCCCTAGGAGTGTTTGTGCCCTTGCATACATATATATATATATATACATATATGTATGTATGTATATGTATGTATATATATATATATATATGTATGTATATATATATATATATATATATATATATATATATATATAAATTATGCGTGTGTGTCTGTATGTACGTCTGTAAGTATGTATGTATACGCATATTTCCTTATAGTGTATTCACTGCATACCACTGTTCAGATACATGGGCCCTGAGGGAAGTGCCCATAGGTAGGCTTTGCATGTGTCTATGAAGGGCTACTATAAGGGCTAGTTTAAGGAACAAGTTTTTGGGGGCTCCTGGTGATAGTTATAGTAAAACATACCCCAAAACCAATTCTAATTATTAAGGCCCTTACATTATGCAGCAGAAAGCACTGCAATAGATCCTGAAAACCTGCAGCAAGAAATGCCCCAAAAGACCTGACAATCTATAAACCCGTGCTGGGCGTCACTATGGACGCCTGCAGAATCCCTGTGCAGCCTGTTGCAACCTGTTTCGGGCATCATCGATTTGTTTAATTTCAGAAGCTTGCCCGAAAACCTGATGCCTCCGAAACCCTATATAGCCCGTGGAGACCGTTAAAGCCTGAGTAAAGCAAATATACTTACAATCAGACATACAACTCTAGTTACTCTAGTTCTAATTAGAGGTCTTATAAGTATACATGTACTTGTCTAATTAGAATTCTTATAAATATCACTGTACTTATCTAATGAGAGTTCTTTTAGAAGTAAAACTGTACTTATTAGGTCCCATAATCCTCGAAGTGAACAGTCGCTGCACAAGGCACCTCCGAAGACGCGCCATCATGTAAGACAAAACTTTGCCTCAGTCAGGCTTGAACAGGCCTACTATAGGAGCCTTGATAATTGGAATAGGGTTTTGGGGCCCATTATACTATACTTATAATAAGGGACCCCCCAAAATAGTATAGGTAATCATTTAGGCCCCTATATTACCCCAACAGAGGTCGTCAGATAATGCTGCAGCTTTAATAATTAGAATAGGTTTTGGAAGTACGCTACATTGTAGTACATTTGTTTAGAGCCTACATAGTTTGAATAGGGCTTGTAAGGTATACTACATAAATATTACACTTATAGATATATACATACGGTTGATGATATAAATCCTGCATTACCTTTAATCAGGAATATACCATAATTTCCATAGTTTAGGGTCCTTAAGGTCATGCAGGATTTATATCATCAACCGTAGGAATGCTATTAGTGCTTATTCCGACCTCTGACTCTGTAGATTATCAATTTCGGTTTCCTCTGCCTCCAGAACTTAACGTTTTACATGGTTTGAGAATACTAGTAGGGTTGTCTAGGCTGTTGCTACGATTGAATGCTGATCTAATGGGGGCTTTCTGGTAGGTCTGAAGTAGAAATCTTGCGGGTTGTGCAGAGACAAAACAAACAAAGAGTCATGGCTACATAAGTCCCTTTACGGGCTTTCTTCCGGGGTTCTACAAAGGGCTTCTATGTAGCTATGTAGTATAGAATTTGACCCGACGTACCTGAGTACATGATATATAGGGACATGGCCCATGTCAAACCCTCGTAGTGACAACTCTGAAGCTACAATTGCTCATTAAACCTACATGGACCCTTCCAGTGCGCTTGAGTCCATGGTTCGGGAGTGGGGATTGGGCCTAGGTCAGACGTGCCAGCGGTGTGAGTGCTGTCGTGTTCGCTTCTACGCTTCTGCGCTCTACTCAAATGTCACAAGCTTAACCTGTTCACAACTCGGCCGAAATACCAACCCATCTGGGCTCATGACCCTGCCCTTAGTCTACTAAAAGATTCTCACATGCAGCCCGCGGTACCCGATCTGGATCTTCGTGGTCCATAGGTCTGGCTGCTCCTCCTCGTGTTTATGACACACACACACACACATATATATATATATATATATAATCATATATTATATATATATACACGTACTCATACGTATATGTATATATATATATATGTATATATACACATACAAACAGTCAGCGTAGGGTGTTTTCGTTCTGTCTTTCCACCTGTCTTTCCGCGAAAATGTGAGCGGGTACGTACATGATTACATCAAAAACATGCATACATCGAGACGTACATGCACACAAAAATGAAGCAGTGTAATCGCGCTTAACACCCGCCATCCTGAGACCGTGCGGGGCTAAGAGCTTACGGTCTCTTGGGCCCCAGCCCCATTCTGTCCGGAAATTGGGTTTCAGGAAATGAAAATTGGATGCAAAGAACCTGAAAATTAACGATTTTCGGATATGGGCTGTGCTCTGTCACGCCACTGCTTGGAGTTCAGGGTGTTTAGAAACCGTTTTCCTAACTTAACCCTAAACCCTGAACTACGATTTACCAAAGTCAGCATGCGGTCATATGTATTACATGCTCCTAAGTTTCTCATCTCGGGAAACACCATTTTAGGAGCTCATGCTCATTGTGTCGAGGCCCGAAACCCGAAAGCCTCTGCACAGGGTTTGGCGGGAAGTAGGTCTTTTCGGCTACGGGTAGGGTTTATACCTTTAAGGTTTCGGGTTTCGGTAACCCGCCTGATCGCCGCAAGAATGACAGGCAGTCATGCCACTCTCGTTCCTGGGCGTGGGCCGGAGATCAAACGATTGGACTTCCTCGTTCAGTAGAGGGTTTTGGTTTAGGGTATAGAGCTTGCTCTGGTCATGCATAAATAGTTTCTGATGTTTACAGGCTTTGGTGTCCTCGTCCAAGAGGTGTTGCTCAAGATTCATGAGAGGTCCTGGTTGTCCTTGTATATCCGAAACGAAGCACACTTGGAATGATGATGTTGCTTGCGGCTTTGAGCTGTTGTTCTTGCTTGCGAGCAAGGCCAACCGCCTTTGATGGAAGTGCATGTTTAGGGGGCCTACCAAGACGCTTGATCGGCTCAGCTTATGCCTGTCACCACTTGAGTCTCTTCAGTAAACTTATGCCAGCATCCTTGAAAGGGATACCCTGAGCCTGAGCAGTTCGAGGCCATATTCTAGATCCAACAAATTGGAGGCACTCCGACCCTGAACCCTAACACCAAACCGTAGCTTCACTGAGGCCTCATCCGCGGAAAAACCTGAACCGCACAGCCTCTGCACAGTTTGCGATGTAAAACGGTGATTGGGGCAACCTGGCAGAAGAGCTGTAGGCAACTCCGACATACGTTACCCTGACCGTGTCCAACTTCACAAGGTATAGACTGCACTTCAAGCTTTCAGACCCGCATCGCTTTAATCCAAGTGGCCCTTGCCCTATACGATGTGAATGGTGAAGCTTAGGGTTCCCATAAGGTGCGAATTTCCATGCTTGTTCCCGAAAACCCTAAACCAAACGCTAAACCTTAACCATACCTAACTCCTAAGCCCTAAACTCCTAAACCCCTTTTGAAGCCCTAAATCCCGAACCCTATAATCCCTAACGCCCTAAAAACCCTAAACCCTAAACCCCAAACCCTTTTCAGCATGGGCTTGGATTGTCGCCCTAAACCCCAAACCCCAAACCCTTTTTGCAGCAGGCCTCGTTGTCCAGCAGACCGGTTAAACCCTAAACTCCAAACCCTAAACCCCAAACCCTAAACCCCTGATCCAACAGGTCCAGCAACGCGTAAGTCCCCAGGCCGCAGAGCTCACATTCCGAGAGGCCAGACACCTGAGAAGGGGGTTAGGGGTTAGGGTTTAGGGGTTTAGGGTTTAGGGGTTCAGGGTTTAAGGTTTAGGGTTTAGGGGTTTAGGGGTTTAGGGTTTAGGGGTGTAGGGTTTATGGGGTTAAAGGTTTAGGGTTTAAGGTTTAAATAGGGGGTTTAGGGTTTAGGGTTTAAGGCTCAGGGTTAGGGTTTTAGGTTTTTTATTTTTTAAGCTCTTTTCCAACTCCGCAGGTACGCGTGCGGGGGATCCCCTACTTGGAAGATCATGGGACTTAGTAAGCCAAGGTTATAGGTACCTTAATTGGGGTTAAAAGTAGTTATGTGTATGGTTACCTTATTTATTATAACTCTAGTTACTAAGTCCAATGATCCTTTGAGTAGGGGAAAACAAAGGTAGCCTAGTTTCAGCTTCTCAGGTACCAAGTCACCCTCGTCGATCTTTGTGGCTGACGGAAGACTTCATGTTCAGCGCTTAGACTTCAGGTTTAGGGTTTAAGGTTTAGGGTTTAGGGGTTAGGGGTTTAGGGGTTTAGGGTTTAAGGTTTAGGGTTTAGGGGTTTAGGGGTTTAGGGGTTCAGGGTTTATAGGGTTAAAGGTTTAGGGTTTAAGGTTTAGGGGCTTAGGGGGTTTAGGGCTTAGGGTTTAAGGCTTAGGGTTAGGGCTTTAGATTTTTTATTTTAGCCAAGGTTATAGGTACATTAATTTGGGTTAAAAGTAGTTATGTGTATGGTTACCTTATTTATAACTCTAGTTGCTAAGTCCAATGATCCTTTGAGTAGGGGAAAACAAAGGTAGCCTAGTTTCAGCTTCTCAGGTACCAAGTCACCCTCGTCGATCTTTGTGGCTGACGGAAGACTTCATGTTCAGCGCTTAGACTTCAGGTTTAGGGTTTAAGGTTTAGGGTTTAGGGGTTAGGGGTTTAGGGGTTTAGGGTTTAGGGTTTAAGGTTTAGGGTTTAGGGGTTTAGGGGTTTAGGGGTTCAGGGTTTATAGGGTTAAAGGTTTAGGGTTTAAGGTTTAGGGGCTTAGGGGGTTTAGGGCTTAGGGTTTAAGGCTTAGGGTTAGGGCTTTAGATTTTTTATTTTAGCCAAGGTTATAGGTACCTTAATTGTGGTTAAAAGTAGTTATGTGTATGGTTACCTTATTTATTATAACTCTAGTTACTAAGTCCAATGATCCTTTGAGTAGGGGAAAACAAAGGTAGCCTAGTTTCAGCTTCTCAGGTACCAAGTCACCCTCGTCGATCTTTATGGCTGACGGAAGACTTCATGTTCAGCGCTTAGACTTCAGGTTTAGGGTTTAAGGTTTAGGGTTTAGGGGTTAGGGGTTTAGGGGTTTAGGGTTTAGGGTTTAAGGTTTAGGGTTTAGGGGTTTAGGGGTTTAGGGGTTCAGGGTTTATAGGGTTAAAGGTTTAGGGTTTAAGGTTTAGGGGCTTAGGGGGTTTAGGGCTTAGGGTTTAAGGCTTAGGGTTAGGGCTTTAGATTTTTTATTTTAGCCAAGGTTATAGGTACCTTAATTGTGGTTAAAAGTAGTTATGTGTATGGTTACCTTATTTATTATAACTCTAGTTACTAAGTCCAATGATCCTTTGAGTAGGGGAAAACAAAGGTAGCCTAGTTTCAGCTTCTCAGGTACCAAGTCACCCTCGTCGATCTTTATGGCTGACGGAAGACTTCATGTTCAGCGCTTAGACTTCAGGTTTAGGGTTTAAGGTTTAGGGTTTAGGGGTTAGGGGTTTAGGGGTTTAGGGTTTAGGGTTTAAGGTTTAGGGTTTAGGGGTTTAGGGGTGTAGGGGTTCAGGGTTTATAGGGTTAAAGGTTTAGGGTTTAAGGTTTAGGGGCTTAGGGGGTTTAGGGCTTAGGGTTTAAGGCTTAGGGTTAGGGCTTTAGATTTTTTATTTTAGCCAAGGTTATAGGTACATTAATTTGGGTTAAAAGTAGTTATGTGTATGGTTACCTTATTTATAACTCTAGTTGCTAAGTCCAATGATCCTTTGAGTAGGGGAAAACAAAGGTAGCCTAGTTTCAGCTTCTCAGGTACCAAGTCACCCTCGTCGATCTTTATGGCTGACGGAAGACTTCATGTTCAGCGCTTAGACTTCAGGTTTAGGGTTTAAGGTTTAGGGTTTAGGGGTTAGGGGTTTAGGGGTTTAGGGTTTAGGGTTTAAGGTTTAGGGTTTAGGGGTTTAGGGGTTTAGGGGTTCAGGGTTTATAGGGTTAAAGGTTTAGGGTTTAAGGTTTAGGGGCTTAGGGGGTTTAGGGCTTAGGGTTTAAGGCTTAGGGTTAGGGCTTTAGATTTTTTATTTTAGCCAAGGTTATAGGTACCTTAATTGGGGTTAAAAGTAGTTATGTGTATGGTTACCTTATTTATTATAACTCTAGTTACTAAGTCCAATGATCCTTTGAGTAGGGGAAAACAAAGGTAGCCTAGTTTCAGCTTCTCAGGTACCAAGTCACCCTCGTCGATCTTTATGGCTGACGGAAGACTTCATGTTCAGGGCTTAGACTTCAGGTTTAGACTTCAGGAATTCAGGCAGGATTCCCAGAGACTCCAATATCCCTTAATTAAGGAATATACCTTAACTCAGATTGGGAATCCTAGCTATCCTTTTTGAAGTATATTCCTTAATTAAGGGATATGGGAGTCTCTGGGTTTTACAGACAGGGAAGTTGCGTGCTTCTTTAAAGGTCTACAGTATCGTCCAGCTTTGGGCTTGATACGATTGTAGCGATGATAACTGGTTTTCCAAAGGTTCCACAGTGTTTTGTCAGGAGTCGTGTTTCAGGGCGGGCAGTAGGTTTTTGATGGATTCGATGGGGAGACTCTCATCATTTGCTGTCTAGAATGCGCGGGATTAGGGAGAAGGGCTTACGGTTTCAGGTTTTGGGATGCCCGTGGTGCTGAACCTTGCTGACACGAGAAGCCAAAGAAAAATGCCAAACCTGCATCAAGTTCTGGAAGTGCTAACATCTACCGCTTCAAAGGGAAGGTTCATGAGAATGCGCATCTCCTCGCCCTCGAGTCCTCGTCTTCGTCGTAGCCGCACAACAGCGGAACATACCCTAAGGCTCCATGTGCCCATATAGTATATACTTAGGCCTTAAAGTACCTATATAGGGACCTCTTTAAGGCCTAAGTATCTACTATAAAGGTACATGGAGCCTTTGGACGCAGCAGCAATAGGCAATAGAAGTAGGGGTACATGAACTGTCCGCACTGGTCTTGTGTCCTAGTTCATATTAGTAATCATGTCTTAGTCGTACACCCACGGTTTAGGCAAAAAGTGTTTAGGCTGACGGTAACTAAGCCCTTTTTCCACAGGCTTGATTAGTGCTCGCCCGGCCAGAATCCCCAAGCACATCGCACTCGTGGCGAGATGCGGAGGCTAAGTACGTACAATAACTAAGCCCTAAACCCTGAATCCTATACTTGTCGGGTATCATGGGGAACTAAAGGCTAGCCTTTTTGGTCATATAGGGATTATGTAGGGACTATACTACCCCAAAAAGGTTAAAGGTTACCTACTCTACTACAGGCACTAAACTCCCAAACCCCTTAACCCTATAGATCCCCTTAAAGGAAGCCTTATGGATCCCTCTAAAGTAACCCATATAGATCCCTTAAAGGTACATACTACCGCAGCCCATCTACTGGTATAGGCAGGAAGCCTCATAATTATAGATCCCCTTACTACTAGGATCCTATACCACCTTATAGCTCTGGAGCACCCCGTATGCATATAGATCCCTGAAAGGTACATACCACCGCAGCCCAGCAACCCGCGCCACAGTCCCGGGCTCGCAGGGTGTGCAGGTTGCTTGGCCCACCAAGCGCCTTACTCTGGGTACTTGGAGGATCATGGGACCTGGTAGCTGTAAAGGCTCCTTCAAGGGATAAAGGGATCTATAGGGTTCCTCAAAGGGATCTATAGGGTTTAGGATTTAGGGTTTACTTGGAGGATCATGGGACTTAGTAAGTAAGGCTATAAGTGCCTTAATTGGGGTTATAAGTAATTACAGTATAAGTATGGTTACCATGTTTATAACCCTAGTTACTATAGGTCCCATGATACTTTAAGTAGGCTCGGGGTTGTGACTTTAGGGCCCCACCAAGAATCCTGAAATGACAAGGTCCACCCTGAAACTCATACCCTAGAACCCACAACCCCTGAAGCCCTAAATAATAGAATCCTATAAACCCTAAAACCCTAAACCGTAGCAGTTGAATGCTTAGCCCGGAGAGCCCAATAGCCCAGCTCATAACATGAAGACCCTTGCTTACAATTCAAGGTAAACTCCTTGATTCAAGGGTATTGGGCTCTCTGGGAATCTGCCTGCAAAAAGCAGGACCAACAGCCGACCGCCGAAAGCCTTAAACCCGGGTTCCTTAAAGGGATCTATAGGGTTTAGGATTTAGGGTCTACTTGGAGGATCATGGGACTTAGTAAGTAAGGCTATAAGTATCTCAATTGGGGTTATAAGTAATTATGAGTAGGGTTACTACTGCTGCAAGGGTTTATGGGGCTCAGGAGCTCAGGGTTTATAGTCCGTAATCTCTCTGTAGAACCCCCAAACCGGCGCCCTCATACTTCCAAAACAGAACCCTCAAAAGGAACCAATGAACTAGATCCTTTATAGGCGCTTTAAGAGAAACTGGAATCCAGGGCCTAGCGTCTGGTTGCTTCCAGGAGAGCAGAGGCGACATATGCTTGTGCGCGTGTTGGCCACAGGCGCAGAGTACATGCCTGTTTAGACTAGGGTTCAGGGTTTAGGGGTTGAGGGTTTAGGGTTCAGGGTTCTCATAGGAGCACATCACATGTCTCTTCCAAGCGGGCCGCTTCAGCATTGCAGGAAAAGTACAAGAAAACCATGGAACATGTCAAAAACATAGGCAAAGCTTGTAAAGGCTAAGAAAAGCTATAAAAAGCTATAAATAGCTAAAAAAGACTAATAATTTCCTGCAATGACGTCTCGATTGGACCTGTGGCTTTGGGTTCAGGAGTTCAGGGTTTGGAGATAGTGGCGAGGGTTTTGGGATGAAGATAAAGGGTTCAGGGTGGCGGATTTCGGATGTATGATTGAAGGTTCTGTTTGGTGCTTTAGGGTTGGCAGTTAGTTGAGCGGGGGATTTTTCCTGGAATTATGTGGCATGCAGTGCGTTTTCCAATCCACTAGAAAAAGCTAGAAAAAGCTAGAAAAAGCTAGATAAAGCTAGAAAAAACTAGAAAAAGCTAGAAAAAGCTAGATAAAGCTAGAAAAAGCTAGATTTTTCCTGATTTGGGGCCGGGGGCCCGGCTAAGGAATTCCATTGAAAAGCTAGGCAAGGCTAGAAAAGGCTACAAAAAGCTTGGCATGCTTGAGCCACCTGAGGACCCAGTTTATCACATGTTCAGCGAAGGATTTTACCAGGATTTATTTAGCTCCTTTAATGGTGCCCCGGCTGCGAAGAAGCCTACTTAGAAGAAACATTAGATGCGCCCCTAAGAGGTTCAGAGTTTGGTGCTGTGGATTTGAGCTTTAGAGTTGAAGATGTAAGGATTTCGGTATTAGGCTAGGGTTCAGAGTTTGGGGTTTTGGATTTGGGGCCTTTAGAGTTGAAGATGTAAGGATTCCGGTTCCAGGCGTATGATTAATAATCTAGGGTTCAGTGTAGAATTAGAGCCCTAGCTGCGAGAAAAGCCCGAACATCGGGGCCTTAATTCTCATAATAGGGTTTTGGGGTATGTAGTACGATAACTATAAGAAGGAACTCCCCCCCCCTAACATAGTGTAGGTAATTAGTAAGGCCCCATTATTAGCCTTACAACTGAGACTACCAGCCGAGGTCCGATCCGCTGAGTGGACAGCCCAGAGACTCCGATATCCCTTAATATCTTTCTGGGAGTTTCAGAAAATACGGGGCTACCTTATTTTAGGGTCCTTTTGATAAGGATCCGACTATTTTGGGTACTTATTAGGGTTCCCGATTTTCGGAAACACCCATTTAAGGAGTATACCTAAGGCCCAAGGGTTCCTTAAAGGGCTCCTTAAAGCGATCCATAAGGGAATTACAAGGAATATACCTCAAAATATAGTAGGAAGCCTTGTATGACTTAAGGTATATTCCTTAATTTCTGGGATAGTGGAGCCTCTGGGAATCTGATCCCCTCATCGGTGCAAAACTTCCAATAAAGCTTTCCCGTCTTTAGTTTCTAGGCTTTCCTGGATCATAGCTTCGCGCTTGATCTTAGGGCTGGGAAATGTAGTTCATCCCACAAAACTACAAGCAAAACCTCTGCATCCTCAGTTTGTGTGAGCCAAGCAAAGACACCCTTGGTTGCAGCGAATGCTTCAAACATGTTGGTAAGGATACACAGGCATACCGAAATAAATGTCATCATGATAACAGCTGTCAAGGCACGGTACATAGTAGTAACGACAACATAAAAACATGCTATTCATACTTGTGAATACTGGCAAGTACTAGTTGAATCAAATGCCTATAGTTGCTTCATTCATGCACCTACTGAGTACAGAAGAGGTAGCGATTCAACCCCAAAGGCAAACTCTAAAAATGTATGTCCAGCGGAAGCAAAAACACCAGATGCGGCCTGTTTCACATTGTTGGCACCCGACCGCCACCTGTATGTCGGAGACAAAGTTGCCGGCTGCGTCGACCAAGCCGCTGCCAGTGCGACAATCCTTGGCTACTCGACCAGCAGCAGCCGCCCCTACCGAAAAGCAAAAAGCCACACAGCCAGCGGCACCAGCAGCACCAGCCGCAGCACTGATAATAATGGTCCCACACTGCACTATCCACGATTGTGCATCTATCTTCCCTCTCCTCTTTGCCATCACGGGTCTAAGGGTGAGGGCTCATACCTACCTACTGGTTCAGGTTCCCAGAGACCCCTATTTCGGGGGGGACTCCTGCAATCCTGATCACGGGAAGGGCGGGGAAAGGTCGAGCTGGCGGTTCGATTTCGGCATCGGCATCTCCCTTTGGACAATGTGAACAGTGCGCTGAAAAAGAATCCCAGGGAGGGTCAGTGTTAAGATTCCTGCCCAGGTGCCTCTAAGGGTCTCTACAAGGATTTTGGGTCAAAGGCTGCATTTGAGGTCCATGGGGTTCGGGTATAGTCTAGGCTTCAGGTTTGAGGGTTTCGTGTCAGGTCTGGGGTTTGCAGTCTAGGGTTTAGGGTTGAGGTACCCCCCCCCTCCACCACCGACCTCCCACTTTCTTGTTCGATGGGTCCCGTGCCATATGCCGCTGGCTGTGGGCTCAAAACCAAGCACAGGTGTTGCCGACCGAAAATGCCATAAGCACTGGACGATGACAATGTGTTCACTGCTATGCTGCTATGATCGTCTTCTGCCTTAAAGAACCCTTAAAGGAGCCCTTAAAGGACCCAAAAACCCCTAAACCCTAAAACCCTGAACCCTAAACCCTAGGGCGAGGATCCGTGACACTCGGAAGCCACGAGGTCCATTTCGTCTCCTCAAGCGTTGGGAGCGGCTTTGGGAGCCTCAAGGGTTCCTATTAAAGGATTACTATAAAGGTTCTATAAGGGTACTATAAGGGGTATTAGGGTTTAGGGTTTATGGTATTACCTTGGTTCCTTATCAAGCTTTGTCAAAGGCACTGATACGGTTGATGATATAGATCCCGCATTACCTTAAGAACCCTAAACTATGGGAACTATGGCATATTCCTTATTATGGGTAGTGCAGGATTTATATCATCAACCGTATAGCACCCTAAATAGCATGATCCTCAGTATATGGGCCCCGAATACGGTAACCCTGCTAATTTTCGTAAACTCCCAAATAAAATCCGGCGCCTAGGTTTGAGGGTTTAAAGGGAACTCCAGAAAGTTGGAATATGGATTAACGGTAGGATCCCCTATAATTTACCTTAAAGGGGTTACGATAATGATATTCCAACTTTCTGGCTTCTACTGTAGGGGTTGTTTTGGGGATTCTGGGTCGGGCCTTGAGGAAAACTTCAGAGTCTTCCTCGGCTCGTAAAGTTCAAGGCTTTTGGGCTTGAGAGTCAGAGCTTAAGGGGTTTAAGACTCTTTGGGGGTTAAGGGTTTAGGGTTTCAGTTTGGGGCAGGAAGGCCTTCGGCACTTTCCCACGCTCGTCCGATAGGGAAGAAGGCTTTATCTGCGGTGTTCGTCTGAACCCGGGTGAACGGGGGTTTAGGGTTGAGGCTCTAGGGAGAGAATTTGGGTAAAAGAAGGGCGGATGCCGTTGTACATGGCTTAGAGGGTATGTAGGTTGCATACGATGTTTCTGTTTTTGCAGGTTAGGGTTTTAAATCTTAGGATCTCTGCATCTCCCAAGTTTACGAACATCTTTTAGGTGTACAGCGTGCACCCTAACCTACAAACAGAAACACAAAGCACCCCTGAAACTCCCCAGGGCCAACACCCCTCAAACAACATCACCCCCAAAATCCTAAATTCCCCCCAAATCCTACTTGGAGGTTCATGGGACTTAGTAACTACAGTTATGAGTACCTTGACTGGGGTTATAGCTAGTTATAAGTATAGTTACCTCAGTTTTTAACCGTAGTTACTAAGTTTCATGAACCTCGCAGTAGAACCCGGAATCCCAAGATAGCTCCTCAACTTAACACTTTCCGACCTGGAGTGTGCTTTCTTCACTTGGGTTTAGGTTTCAAGGATTAGGGGTAATTTCTAGGCCCTCAGTGAAAGGGTTGTTTTTAATCAGGGATCCTCATTAACCCCGAACCCGAAACTCGTTTGGACCGATGGCCTGCCCCAAGCCGTCTCAGTAAAACCTGAGATACTCATTCTTCAAGTCTAAATGTTGGAAGGGGCCCCCACCACCCTGTAATAGTGACTATAAGGACTGTATTAGGGCCCCATTATATTCCTACTATACCACTATTCCACGGTGCGGGCCCCTCGTAATCTAAATGCAACGAACTTTATACGCAACTGCAGCCCTGGAAGTTTTAAGGCTAAGGCTCAAAATAGCCCAACAGCCTTATATGGTATGGTCTTTCGGCCCAAAAGCTTTGAAATATGAGCCCCCATAGAGCCTAAACCCTATAGATCCCTCATAGGAACCCTCATAGATCCCTTTAAAAGAACCCTATATGAGCCCTTAGAGCCTAAACCCTATAGATCCCTTATAGGAACCCTATATGAGCCCCTATAGAGCCTAAGGGTAAAGGAACCTTTGAAAGCTCCTGGCGTAGCCACGTGCAGGCAGCAGCCCAGTGGTCCAGCTCACCATCATCATTCTGAACAAGCCTCTTAGGATTTAGGGTTTAGGGTTTAAGGTTTAGGAACAAGCCTCTTAGGGTTTAGGATTTATGGCTTGACCTATAGTCTCCATTGTAGTTCCTTTTTTGTTTAACCAATTATATACTAAGGATCCTATAAGGTAACCCAGAAACAAGAACTACAATGGAGACTATAGGTAGGGTTGAAGCTTTTAAGGTTAATGTGGGGGTTCCCATAAGGGGTTTTATTCTCAAGGCTTTGGGGTTTCTATATAATGAGAGTTCGTTTGAGGATTCTGTAAGGGTTTGTACAGCAGGGGTCTCCATCGTGGAAGGCTTCAGGCTTTTAGGTTTAGGGTTCAGAGTTTTAGGGATTCGGGCTTTGCCTACATCATTTAGGGTTTTAGGATGCTTTAGGGGGTCCCCTTTAAGGGTTCATGGCATAGCGATTCGGGTGCATCTCAGGATTTTTAGGGTTTAGGACGGTTCAAGCCTTGGTGTCTAGAAAGCCCCCCAACCCTAAACCCTAAACCCTAAACCCTAAACCCTAAACCCTAAACCTTAAACCCTAAACCCTAAACCCTAAACCCTAAACCCTAAACCAAACCCCGCAGCCCTTCGCTCACTGAAAGCCATGTACAAAAGCTCCACGGAACTGTGTGGAACCCCGAGCGAAACCATTTTACACCGCAAGGTGGAACCTAAACTCGAAGGGTAAAAGGAGGGACCCTTAATGGGGACCCCTAGTATACTAGGGGTCCCCATTAAGGGTCCCTCCTTTCCCCCTTTGAGAAACCGGAAATGCTAGCCAAGCGGCTGCGTCAGCATTTTTCCCATGTCAGCTTCGTTCACCAACAAGTTCCGCACAAGTGCCACAGCAAGCGGCGCGGCTTCCTCGAAACCTGCTAGGGTTTATAGGGTTTATAGGGTTTATAGGGTTTATAGGGTTTATAGGGCTTATAGGGTTTATAGGGTTTAGGGTTTATAGGGTTTAGGGTTTATAGGGTTTAGGGTTTATAGGGTTTATAGGGTTTATAGGGTTTAGGGTTTTTCCCCTCCTACCTAGCAAGGACGAAGCCCGCATTGTAGGGAGTCTCGGTTTAGGGTTTAGAGTTTAGGGTTCAGGGTTTAGTCGAAACCTGCTGGAAGCTTGGAAGGCCTTTGGATTTCGCAACATCTTGAACCGTAAACTCCTAAACCTGCATCCAGCTCTAAACCCTAAAGGGGGAGAACAGAGGGTTTCATATGGACCTGGTGCCTTTGAGGCTTTAAGATACAAGTGTCGAGGCTTCAGTCAGCTGTCTTTGGGGATTGGGGCCTTTGAATTTGAAAGCTTTCCCGTGACAGGGGCCGAAAGCCTCGACAGTATATGTCAAACTAGACCCTGAATTGTAGCACCTTGCTTCGATCACCTTGTTTATGTTAATGATACTGCCCGAACGGTACGACAGTTTACACAACAAGACCTACTACAATTCTACAGCTCAGGGTCTGGGCAGGGGTCCAGTATTGAAAAAAACTGTTTCGGAGTCGAACTGCTGTAGATTTTCTGCTCCCTGACACATCGTAGTAAAGTTTGACCCCCAGACTTTCAAGGCCAAGCCAGAACCCTCAGTTCCCAAAACTAGGATGCCCAGTAACCTAGGAATAAAAAGATCTCCCTGTTTGGTATTGGGTAACTAACTTAATAAGGAACCTAGGACTGAAAAAAGGGAATAAGGATACTACTGGGCATCCTAATTCATAACCCTAGTTACGAACCCTAAACCCTAATCCCTATAGATCCCTTCTTAGGAATCTGTATAGGAACCCTACTGGCATCCTAGAAAACTGAACACGAATCCGAGACTGTACCCTCGAAGCGACAGGCCGGCACATCCTTGTGAATAACCTCCCTAAACCCTAAACCCTAAACCCTCCTTGCAACATCCGTGCCCATAGGCCCCGGAGTAGATGCTTTTGGGGATTACCTTGTAGGATTCTATATATGAACTCCCGGTTTAGGGTTTAGGGGTTTAGGGGTTTAGGGTTTAGGGGTTTAGGGAACTACTTTGGGGCCTATGGGTTAATTGCAGCTTCATGGTCACATGCGGCCCAAAACCGGCACGAAACTTGCCATTTGACAACCATACGAAAAAGAAAACACCTTATAAGACATCCTAGTCAGCCCAGCAGGAAGTCCAGGGATTCGCAACATAGACTTATGTAGTCCCTAAACGCAGAGACTCCAACATACCTTAATTACGGAATATTCCTTAAGTCATATAAGGGATCCTACTATAATTTAAGGTATATTCCTTAATTAAGGGATATTGGAGTTCCCTTTAAAGCCTCAACCCTAAACCGAGCTAGACCCTGAGAGACCCCAGAGCAAACCTTGCAAAGTAGTGTGTGAAAGCCCCAAAAAGCCCTGAACCCGGAGCACCAATGCTAAACTCTAGGGTTTAGGGTTTAGGGCTTCTCTGTAGACCTATCCTTAAATGGGCTTATAAGGCTTAGAGTTTAAAAACCGCATCAAACCGAAAGCCTAAGCCTCAAAACCTATATCCTACAGCGCCTAAGCAGGCTGTAACCGAGCAGCCAGCAGCCGCCAGGTTCGCCAGCCAGGTGTGCTTTCGCTGGGAGCCTGAAGTATGACGCTTCTAGGCCAGGGATCAGCCTCATCTGTAGGCATTCGATGCCGGCAGGGAAGCCCCAGTATTGGGAAATGCCCAAGGACGAAGGCTGAAGCTACGGATTGGGAACGCCGTTCCAAAGAAATCAAAGTTCGTGAGTGCGGCTTTGCAGCGGTAATGGAGAGTAGTTAGAGGCTCAGATACAGGCAGGCCATGGCCACTTTAAAGTAAGGGTTACTGGAAGATCTGGGCACGAGGGAGTACCAAGCGTACGTCCAGGTCTCCGGGTGCGTGCGGCGAATCACCCGGCTAAACAGACCTAATTGTCGAAGTCAGAAATGAGTGTCGTGGATGGAGTGTGTAATGCAGTCTACAATGATAAAACAAGCCACAACATTCTTCTCGCAATGGTTAACACATGTCTGGGGATGTTGACTACCGCTAGGAGGGAAATGCCGGATCCTCAACCCTGTAGTTACTGTAAGGGCTTTTAGTTCAAGGCAACCGCCGCAACATGCACGCTCTCCTGTTTGCAAAAACTGACGTGGCAACAGTTCTGTCACAGTTCAAGGCTTGCCTTAACCCCCCCCCAAAAACCTACCTTTTTAAGGAGTTGTATAAAGAGACTTACGGTTTAGTGATGTTCAGCGTACAGTTTCGGGGGCCTTTAAAAAACGGCAGGGCAAGCTACCCATAGGCCCCATAGTAGTTCCGTTTTGGGAGTACCTGGTAGAATTCTAAATACGAACCCCCCAAAAAAGGCATCACTATGGGGCCTATGGGTATATACAGGACCTCGGCTACGGAGGCTTCGCACTTTTCGGGAGACGTCCTCAGATTGGAGAAGGCCCGACTTAGATATGGGAGTTTCCGAAAATTAGGGATACCTTATTTTGGGGTCCTTATAATAAGGATAATACTATTTGGGGTACTATATTAGGGTCGCCTGTTTTCGGAAACTCCCATATAGGGGCCTCGAAAGAATAGGGCTCGGGATTGAGCTAATAAAGGGGCCTTAATAGAATAGGCTTCCTTTAAAGGGGATACTGTAAGGCTATAAGGGCTACTATAGTCCAAGGCTCCGTAGACTAGTCGAGCATACTCCGTCTGGTTGTGTCGCGGAAACAAAACGAGATCCGGAGACTGCAGCACGAAGGTGGTGTCCTGAGTTGCTCTTAAGGGTGAAGGGTTTGTGAGTTTAGGGGTTCAGGGGCTTAGGGTTTAGGGCTTAACCCAAAGTGGCCTAAGTACTTACATGTACTTACATAGAACAAACAGGGTGTCTAAGTTCGGAAGTACTAGTAACTAGTATGGCTTTGGCAAATAATGTTCCGCCGTAAAGGAACACCGAAAAGAGCCCTTTATGGAACCCTAAACGAACCCCTGAAGGAGCTCTCAAAGGAACCCCAAAAGGTTACTTGGGACCCTTGGGGCTGGGTCTCCCTTTGGGCTCTGAGTGAACGAGTCATGGGCATTTTTTAGGGTTTAGGGTTTAGGGTTTGGGTTTAGGGTTTAGGGTTTAGGGTTTGGGTTTAGGGTTTGGGGTTTAGGGTTTAGGGTATACGACATAAGCAGAGTAGCTTGAACCGAACCTCCCAACAGCCCGTCAATTTCAGCCCCCCCCAGCCACCGACAAATGGAAAACAGCCTGGCCCAGCTCAGCCCAGCTCAGCCCCACAAAGCGAAAGCCAAGGCGCAATGCAGAAACCCGGCCGAAACACACTCGACATTTCCGCTGAAATTCGCCCAATACCTATAGTCTCCATTTGCATTTCCGAACGACAAACCACTGATCAGTTAGTTGCATTTCCGAAAGAAAGACCAGGACATACGCCCAGCCAGCCCAGCCCAGCCGCTGACACGTACAGCCCCCAGCCCCCGACAAATCGAAAGCAAGGTTCGAACGATAGAACTTTCGCTCAAAGCTTCTTGGCACCGGCACCCGAACGCTAAACAGTTTCTATAAACCCTAAACCGTCAAATTTACGTGAGGACAGCCAGGCGGAGTGTGGCAGGAGCGGGTAGCTCTAACTCCACAACAGATGCTTTGAGACCTGCAGATCCCAACCCTGAAGCTAACCGAATATGGTTCTTGCCCCTGAGGGTCCACCGGGTCCATGCACCCAAACAGTATACGCTTGGGCCCTAAAGTACCTGAACAGGGACTACATTGATGCCCGAATATATATATATATATATATATATATATATATATATTATGATATGAATACATGGTCGCTTCGGGCTAATAGATCCTAACCCTTGAAAAAAAGGCAGAGCCACAGGTACAGCCGAAACCCGGCTTCGGGTTAAGATGGCTCCTTACTATGGCTTCGTCTATAACCCTAAACCCTGAACCGCTTGAGAAAAGCTAGGTCATTTGGATACCAAGACGCCGGCTTCCACCAGTAAGTCAAGCTGAGAAACTCCTACAGGATTAGCGGTTGGTGGTTAAGGCGGCGAGTTAAGAGTTCCTAATTAAGGGTCTGCCCCTTAAAACGGTAGGTTTTTGGATCCACAGGTAGGATTCAAGGTGTAGGAGTTAAGGCTTAGGGTCGACAGTTCTTCGGTGTTTCGGGGCATGTGTGTAAGGGTTTGGGGTTCACGATGTCAGGGCCTAGCCAGTGCAGGCTATCCACGTGATGTAGGGTTTCTGCAGGGTTTCGGAGTTTACGGTTTTGGGATTGCGACAGTTGGGCCTTGACAGTTGTGCGGGCTCGGGACTTGGGGGTTCGTCGTTGGGTCAAGATATAATTGGGGATTGGATAGAGTTTGCTTTCTTACGGCATAGTTAGAATGGAAAGGGGCGAATTCAGATCTTATGACTCTAAGTTCAAGGTTCAACAAGACCTCAAAGTTAGGTATACACCCCGGATTTTCGGAAACTCCCATATGAATTCGACCTATCCGTGAAGGCTGCAAGCTGTTGGATTTTCTTGGCTCGAAGGAGTGCTGGCCTTGGGTCTTGGGTTGCTCCGTGCAGACAGCGCTTGAGGGAGTGGGGTGTAGCGTGTTGGGTTTAGGCTTTTTTTGGGTTTAGGGGTTAGGGTTTAGGGAGTGGGGATTCTGTGGGTCTCCAATTAACCGCTGTCAAAGGATTTAGGCTGTAATAGTGGAATAGATGGGCCGTGCAAGGGTGCAGTGCATTTTCGTTCTATAGTGACTTTCCCTGGATACTCTTACTACAACTTGGTTTAATATTTCGACCCCTTATACTGCTCTACACTACTGTATCATAATATGTTATATGCTGTATGTGAGAAGTTCCATACTTTTTAACATGTCTGTAGGGTTCAGGGCCTGGGCCTTCAGGCAGGGTCTGAAAACGAATTCAGGATAGAAGGGTTTAGGGGTTGCAGGTTAAGGGTTTAGGGTCCAGGGTGTCAGTGCTAGAAGCCCCGGCGCCTTGTTGATTGGGCCCCATTGCCCACTGACCGCAGTCGCAATCGCCGCCGGCATGCTGTGGAACCTCGGTGAAGCACATCTGTGATAAGTGGAGGTTCGAGGCCTTCTTTTCGGGTCTTCAAGGATGTGCTACAGGGGTGCTATGGCAGGGTGTGATAGGGTTTCCCCACTATACAAAAAAAAACATGACTAAGTCAAGGAAATGTAGCATTGCGAACACGAGCCGGAATAGAAAATTAGTTCGACTTCTGAATAGCATCTTTTGGGCTCTTGGGGTTCGGGGTTCCAGGGTAGACAGCTGGACTGTCTACTTCGAAGCCTGAAATCTGTACATCATCATAGCTCAAGAAGCCTAAAACCCTAAGCCTAAGATCCCCAAGCCCTAAAATCCTCTACCCTCTAGGGCTTAGAGTTGGGCTTAGGGCTTAGTTAAGGGCTGCACACCAGGCACTGAGCTAGGTCTGGAGGGTCATCGGGATTAAGGAGCTCGGGGTTCCCCGTCTGGAGCCTTTCTGAAAGGATATAGACCTGACTTAAAGGGCTCCTTAAAGGGATCTAGGTTCCTTAAAGGGATCTATGGGGTTTAGGGTTTAGGGTATACTTGGAAGGGCAGGGGACTTAGTAAGTAGGTTATAAGTAGGGTTATAATTGGGGTAGCTCCATTTAGGGTACGTCTAACTCTACTTATAACCTACTTACTAAGTCCCCTGCCCTTCCAAGTAGGGTTGTTTCGGGTTTATGGTTCAACATTCGCAAAAAGCATGTTCCGCGTCCCAAACAGGCAGCGGTCGTTCCGGTGCCAGCGCAAGCTCCATCCGCTGCTGCTACGGTTTGGAGACGGCTCAGAAACTGAAGCTTGCGAGCTGTCGGCTACAAAAACAGGTTCGGAAATTTGGTGTTGAAGGTTTTCGGCAGCAAGGTGCAGGGTTCGACGAGTTAACCCTTTGGCGGATTGCGGGCATCGGAGATTCAAGCATCGCTGTTGCTCAGCTAGGGGCTATGTCGAATATCAGGCACAGGATTCGGAGATGCAGCAGTTTCCACATCAATCGCATAAGTAGTTTCTAAATCAGGCTCCTGCCCTGCGCCTGCCCCGCCCTGCCCTGGCCTGCCCTGCTTGGCAATGCCCTGCCCTGCCCTGCCTTGCCTTAAACCCTAAACCCTAAACCGTTTGAGGTCGTTCGTGTTTATTTCTTTATTCAGGGTCTTAGGAGCAAGTCGTTACGGGATGAAGGTGTTCAGTCTGCATACCTCAACCAACCTTAAGAGCCGGGAAAACAAAGGAACAAAGGACACCACTTAAAACTAAGTTTTAAGGTTTGAGGGTCCGGTCCTTCAAGGAAGCCTTCACAGTGCGCTTGCTTCCGTCACGGCCGGGCCGAGGCGGACGACGCGAAGCGTTAAATTAAAAACTCGCCTCGGCCCCGGCCGAAGCGGTCAGAGGTTCCTTTTCGGATTCCTTCTATTCCCCTCCCCAGTGGCCCCCCTCCCCCCCCCCGCCCCTCCTGTCTTTTTCTAAGTTCCGGTGCGCCAAGCTCCATCCGCTGCTGCTACGACTTGTACGCTCAGAAACTGAAGCTTGCAAGCTCCGCTCCAAAACTTACAGGCTCGGAAATACGGCGTGGAAGGCTTTAGGCAGTAGGGTGCAGGGTTCCGACATCGGAGATTCAAGCATCGCTATCGCCCAGCTAGGGGCTATGTCGAATATCAGGCACAGGATTCGGAAATGCAGCAATTTCCACATCAACCGCATCAGTGTTTCTCTAACTAAATCGGGCTCTTGTTCTGCCCGCCCTGCCCTGCCCTGCCCGCCCTGCCCTGCTTGGCCCTGCGCTGCCTTGCCCTAAACCCTAAACCGTTTGAGTTGTTGGGGCTTACTTCTTTCGATTCTTGTTGTTTGCTCTCCACTTGACTTCCTTCGTTCCTTCGGGGATAAGTACATTGCGTACTTCTTGGGATAAACATCTCATGCCGCCAATCTTGCAACACCTACGTATATTTGAGTCTCCGAATACGGAAATTTTCCTATAGCATCCTTACTTGTTGCAGCCTGCCCCAGAACTCTTAATCCTACCCCCTAACCTAAACCTAGGCCTCATAAAACCTAAAAGCCCGGACAACACATGGACCGGAAAGGACGAAATCAAAAGCCGCAAACAACCCTAAGGCCGGGCCAAGGCGGACGACACGAAGCGTTTAAAATTAGGGCCGCCCAACCCACAATAAGGATGGTCTTTTGGGACGCCATTCCATAAGGGCAGTATATCCGGACCCTCTAGATTCCCGATCATGCACGCGAGGCTTTGACTGGATTGGAATTAGCCATAACTACACAGGTGACTTTGTAGTTCTTTCCCGGGTACTTCTTCAGCCCAGTGGCGAGATCTGCTGTGTCAGATGCAAGGTGCCCCAACCGTCACCGCCAGTGATCCTGGAAAGCTCATGGGAGGAAGGGTAGAAAGCAGCCCCCAAACAGCACTACAATACTACGCTCTTAGATTCCGGGACCCACAGCCCTAAAGGGCCCAAGCAAAACCCTGCAGATTCACATATAGTGTGTGTTTGTATGTATGTATGTACGTACATATATACTAATCTATATATATATATATATACATATACATATGTAACAAGGAACCTCTCCGTGCAGGTACATGGTCTCTTACAGAGCCGCGAAACAATGATCCATCTGGCTCCCTTTAGAGAGCCCATGCGGTGCCGCTCGTGGTTGCCGCATCGCATCTTAGAATCCCTTAACAAGCCCTTGCATGAACTCTTCGCTAAACCCGGAAAGAACCCTACAGGAATGGAACCCTTCCCCAAAACCTAGCGCTTATTCGCATACCCGGTCTTTTGCCCGAACAGAGCGTGGCTCTGACAGGGGACTCAGGTACCATGGAGGTGTCGCAGTCTGCATGCTTTTTGTGCTATCTGCTGGCCTTCTGCATCTCCGCTCATCCCGCGGTGAAGGTACCAGAGAGGCGTTTGGGGTTTAGTGGTCTGAATAGCAAGAATAGAACTTCTATTTGCCTTGAAAAAGGGATGGCCGCAATGGAAACACCTTAGTCTGCTGGCCAAATCTAAGCAACACGGACATGGACAATCGGGTCTACATCGTCGGAACAACACAAGGAGGGACGATGGACCTGTCGTACTTGTCAGGATATAGACAATAAACCCTTAACATCCCTTAACCCTAAACACAAAAACCCGAAACCCCGGACTGCAAAATTCAGCTGCCCAGCTGCAATGCAGTGCAGTTTTCCGGCTGCGCCCGGCAAGCCGGGGATGCAAACCACTTGCCCTGGTAGCACTTCAGGACCTGTACTATAGGGGCCTTAATGATTAGCTAGGGTTCCCTTGAAAAGGGATTCCTTTAACGGTTCCTTTAAGGGATCTATAGGGTTTAGGGTTCGGGGTTTAGGGGCCTAAATAATTACCTATACTGGTTCCTGAATACAATTATAGTATAATGGGCAACCTATTCTAATTATGAAGGCCCCTATGTTAACCAAGCGCGGCTTGTGAGAACGTTTGAAGCTGAGTGGAGAACTCTATTTGGAGGGTCGGGGGACTTAGTAAGTAGTTAGTTTATAGACTTATAAGTATCATAACCGTAATTAGGCTCCCTGTTAGGGTACTTATAAGTCTACTTATTACCTACTTACTAAGTCCCCCGACCCTCCAAGTAGGTCCTAGGAGGGCGACCTGAAGGGCTGGAGGTGGGTTTAGGGGTTACCTGGGGATCCAAAAACCTACCGTTTTAAGGGTCAGACCCTCTAAATAAGGGGTCATAACCTACTATTTAGTAGGGTTTGGAGTCACAGGTACAGGTTTAGGGTATAAGGCATACCACGGTTTAGAGTTTATGTGGGGATCCAAAAACCTACTGTTTTAGGGGTAAGCCCCTAGAGTTAGGGGGTCATAACCTACTGTTTTGTAGGGTTTTGGGGATACAGGTAGGGTTTAGGGTTTCTGTCTCCGGGGAGTTCAGGGCTTTACTCCATGTACCCTATGCTGTGGCTCTTGCTGGCCTTGAGATGACCCTAGACCCTTAACCCTAAAGCCTGAAAAAGGCCGCTGTACCTTACACCCAAGCTCTTGATCAGGCCTTAAATGCTCAGCCTAATATGCTGCACCGTGAAACACGAGGGCTCCAACTATGCAAAGGGCCAATACTTTGGGGTATAAAGTCTATAAATACGGTTGATGATATAAATCCTGCATTACCCATAAGAAGGAATATACCATAGTTCACATAGTTTAGGGTCCTTAAGGTAATGCAGGATTTATATCATCAACAGTAGTACTTACTTTGGGGTCTAAAGTCTAAAACCGCACCGAAGACTGGACAACCACTCTCTGGTTTAGGGTCTACCGTTTTAAGGGATCTATAAGGGTTCCCTTTTAAGTCCTTTCAGGGTTAAGGGCCCAGGGTTTAGGATCTATAGGGATGCAAAAACCCTGCCGTTTCAAGGCTTAGACCCTATCATTAAGGGGTCGTAACTGTAGGGTTTGGGGATGCGGGATATTTTACTTTGCACTGGGTCTCTTGCGGACTGCTGCGGGTCTCTTGCGAACTGGAAGCACCCTCTACTCCCCTTGGAAGGTAAGCAAAAAACTACTTTTTCGGAGACCCCTATACAAGAAGACCGGAACCAAAAAAGGAACAAAGTAACAAAGTCTCCAAGAGCCTTAAAGCACCATTGCCTGGGCTTTGGACTTGGCTTTGGCCTTTGCCTTGGCCTTAGCCTTGAGCTTTGACTTGGGCTTTGCCCTGGCCTTTGCCCTCTTGGCTTGTGCCTCGGTCTCCTCCTCGATGTAACCCCAAGTGACGATCGAGCCATCGCCAGTAATTGCAGTAAATCCCAAAGCACCGGCTTTGATCTGCTGCACATTCTTCAGCTGCTCCTTAACAGCACGGCTGTCACCGACGTTGTAAGCATCACCCCAGGTCACGACAGATCCGTCGCCAAGAATGGCAGCAAAGGCTCTGTCGTTGGCCTGGATCTGCTGCACATTCTTCAGCAGGTGCTGTACGGAAGTGCTGTCACCGCCGAAAATGGAATAACCCCAGGTCACGACTGATCGGTCGGCAAGGATGGCAGCAAATGCGCTGTGGGATGCTTGGATATGCTGCACATTCTTCAGCTGCTCCGTAACAGCACGGCTGTCACCGACGTTGTAAGCATCACCCCAGGTCACGACGGATCCGCCGCCAAGAATGGCAGCAAAAGCATGGACAGAGGCTTGAATCTGCTGTACATTCTTGAGCTGATCCTGCACAGCACTACTGTCACCACCAAGGCGAGCATCACCCCAGGTCACGACAGATCCATCACCAACAATGGCAGCGAAAGCCGAGCGAGAGGCTTGGATCTGCTGCACAGACTTCAGCTGACTCTGCACAGCACTACTGTCACCACCAAGACGAGCATCACCCCAGGTCACGACAGATCCATCACCAACAATGGCATCGAAAGCCGAGCGAGAGGCTTGGATCTGCCACACGTTCTTCAGCTGATCCTGCACAGCACTACTGTCACCACCAAGGCGAGCATCACCCCAGGTCACGACAGATCCATCACCAACAATGGCAGCGAAAGCCGAGCGAGAGGCTTGGATCTGCCACACGTTCTTCAGCTGATCCTGCACAGCACTACTGTCACCACCAAGACGAGCATCACCCCAGGTCACGACAGATCCATCACCAACAATGGCATCGAAAGCCGAGCGAGAGGCTTGGATCTGCCACACGTTCTTCAGCTGATCCTGCACAGCACTACTGTCACCACCAAGGCGAGCATCACCCCAGGTCACGACAGATCCATCACCAACAATGGCAGCGAAAGCCGAGCGAGAGGCTTGGATCTGCCACACGTTCTTCAGCTGATCCTGCACAGCACTACTGTCACCACCAAGGCGAGCATCACCCCATGTGACGACGGATCCATCACCAAGAATGGCAGCAAAAGCACCGCCCCAAAAAGATACTGTGGCTTGGATCTGCTGCACATTCTTCAGCTGCTCCTTCACGGCGCTACTGTCACCACCAAATGCAGGATCGCCCCAGGTGACGACGGATCCGTCGCCAAGGATTGCAGCAAAAGCGTTGTAACTGGCTTGGATATGCCGCACATCCAGCAGCTGATCCTGCACATCACATGTTCCATCTCTAAGAATTGCTGCAAAAGTGGATCCAGCGGCTTGAACTTGAACTGTGCGTACCTGCAGCACCAGTGCGTCACCATCCTGCAGGCGGGCGCTCTTGATCGGTGAAAGTAGATCCAGAACACCTCCAGATGAGTCCACTAGCCGCCCTTTCCCCACTTTGAGTGTCGCCTCTGCCCGACGTTTAAGGCTCCCCACTTCTTCATCCAAGTAGGCTGTCACAGTGGCTGTCTTGCCACTGAGCAATCCCACTCGCATGTTAATCGACATATGGGAGTTTCCGAAAAGGAAGGGTGCCTTTTTTGGGGTCCTTATAATAAGGATCCTAGTATGGGTGCTATATTAGGGTCCCCTATCTTGTGAAACTTATTGCATGGCGGAAACTGCACGAAGGTCAAAGGCCGGCTCCGGCTTGTCGGGCATCTTCTTCTTCGGGAGCAATATGGGTGGTTGTCAAAATCATAGTCCCTTTGGGGTCCTTATTGTTATACGGCACCTAATATTTAGGGTGCCCAAAAAGGGGTGCCATAACCCCTAACACCGTAAACCCTTAAACCCATAGGGTGGCAGTTGAAAAGAAATGCCTGAGCGAGTGAGACTGCATGCAAGGCTCATGGCTGTAGCAGAACAGGCATTGGCTTGGACTCCAACAATGATTCCGTGGTCCAGTAAAAACCGTGATTTCTGTTCGATTTCAGCCATGCTTGAATATGTTCGTAGCGAGCCGGTTCGGGATACATTGTAAACCCTAAACCTTCGAGCCCTAAACCTGAACCCCTACACCCGTTACCCTAAACCCCTAGACCCTAAACCCCTAGCACGAAACACTAAAGGTTGTGGGAAGTATTTGTCAAAATTATGGCCCCTTTCTGGGTACCCTAAATATTAGGTGCCGTATTGTAATAAGGATCCGGAAAGGGACCCCAACATCAACAACCATCCATATGGGGGTTTCAGCTTGCGAGGAGCCTAGGGCCAGTGCTCATTCTTAATTAGGAGTTAGGATTAGGGGGACCCTTGGGGATATAGACCCTCTCAACATGGTCCCAGCCCGAAGCAGGGATAAGAAGGGTACCCTGCAAGGGGTTTCCCTAATACTACCCAGGACTAATGCTCTGGGTCCCAGGGTCGAGCCCACAGACTTTCGGGTTGAAGGGTTCTGGATTTAGGGCCGGTAGCTAGGCCCTCTGATAAGGTTTAGGGTTTAGGGTTAAGTGACGACAGTACTCGAAAACATGATTCGTTAATTTTGCGTGTCAACGGGCAAAAAAGCTAAACTAAGCTGCCAACAGAAGTGGCTGTATTTGAGGCCCGGGTAAATTGTTACAAGTCTAAACCCGCAACCCCAGCAAACCCTAATCCAAAAGCCTGAACTCTTATCTAGCCTAAACCCCAAATGCTTATGAACCTTCAACCTTTATGAACCGTAAACACGTGCGTGTTCGAACCGTATAACCCTCAACCTGCAGAACATATAAGAAAATAGAATAATTAGGAGCCCGAAACTCCGACCAATAAGATTTCTAGACCTCAAACACTGAACTGTCCAAACCCTAACCCTAAACTTTAGTAAACCCTAAAACTTCACCAAACCCGGTAAATATCTTATACCCTAACCATACCTGGACCCTAAGGAACCTGCCTTTTTGGGGCTCCCTAATATGATTTCTTTATATAAGTCCTTAAAAAGGTAGGTTACTTGGGGGTTAAGGTAAACTTTACCAAACCCTAAAGCGGAAACTTTCTATACCAGAACCCCAAAAAATACTAGACCCGAAGCCCTTAAGTTTGAGGCTTCTTGGGGGCTCAGGCAAGTCTGAGAGCTGTGCAGCTGTAACCCTAAATGTCCACGTACCTATAAAAGTTATCTCCCTCTATATTATATACATATATATATATATATACATATACATATGTAGCATATATATATATATATATCCTCCCAAAGTCTAAGCTACATAACTACTATCCTGAAGCTCAGAACCGGATTATTGGGTCCTTCCCCCGGACCCTTAGCAAAGGATGCCGGGACTTGGGTTGCGGATTATACTTGGAGGGGTTTAGAGTTTAGGGTTAAGGGTGTGTCTTGGGAGCTGAGGGTTCAGGGATTTAGGGGTCTATAGGGTTTTGACGTTTTAAATTTAAGGTTCA